CAAAGATGAAGCAGGCGACCGTTATCAACAAAACTAGGCAAGGTGCAAAGACTTGCATGTTTGGGAATGACTGGAGCAATGAGAACTATCCCAACAGCTGCATTGGATACACTCATGAATCTACCTTCTTTACACTTTGTGATAATGGGGGAGGGCAGGATGGGCCAATTCAGACTGGAAAACTCACCGAACTACAAAATATCGGACCGAACAGAAATTTCGGAACATGTGGAGGAGCACATATTGAATATGTGCACGGACCACATGACACCGAAGTACACCTTTAACACAAACTTCACGGCCAAAATCATAAGCCGTGAAGAGTGGAAGACCATTGATCATCCCGAAAACATGTTTGGAAAAAAACACCTGGTATACAGATGGATCGAAGACCAAACATGGAACTGGAGCTGGAATATACCAAGCGGATGGAAATTGAAACTACAGTTATCCGCTAAGACTATACACATCCATCTTTCAGGCGGAAGTGTATGCTATCTTGCAGTGTGCAAGACTTATTAAATTGAGACCTCAAAGAAACGAGCGGATCAATATTGTAACAGACAGCAAGAGTGCACTAGGGGCTCTGACAAACACGAAGGTGACATCAAAACTGGTCTGGGAATGCCATGTAGAACTGAATGAACTTGAAATAGGAACAAATTAACTTTGTACTGGGTACCAGGGCATTCAGGAATCACAGGTGATGATAAAGCTGATGAATGCGCTAGACACGGGTCATCAACTTCATATATAAGGTCCTGAACCAGCTCTGGGGGTACCAAAATCATTGGTACGAAACCAGATTAGGACATGGACCAATAAGAAGCACACAGAGTTCTGGACAAAAGTACCTGGCAACAAACACAGTAGAAGCTTCATTAGGGAGTCGTCCGAGATAAAACCGAAGAACTACTTCAATACAATAGGGATCGGCTCAGAATAATTACAGGGTTACTAACCGGTCATTGTCCGCTTAGAGGACACCTGAATAAAATGGGGCTGCACAACGGATACCTCAGCTGCAGATTATGCAACGAAGGGATAGAAACAGCTCTACACATCTTATGCCAATGTGAGGCACTGAATCACAGGAGGCAGGCAATATATGGACGTACAAAATTACGTCCAGAAGAATATGACGAACATCCAACACGGAACCTGTACAAACTAGTACAGGGAACGAGACTGATGGAATGGGTGTCATGAGAAGATGGGAGAATAAACGCAATAAGCCCAAGAGGCTGCAGTGTTTTCTGGAGACTTGGACTAAATGGACAAGTCAGACGGCTCCCAAGAGACCAAAAAAAAGCGGTTATTTTCTCCAAATTCAATTAAAACAAAGTGTGTGTGAGATATCATCGAAATTTTTTGTTTGTTTGAAATATCTATTGATGTCATTATGTGTGGAATATGACATCATTCAAATGTCCACTACGGCTTTTCTGGGTGGAGCGCATCCGAAACGTCTAATTTTTCATGACTCTGGCCCATAAATCAGGCTGAGTTTGATCGATGGCATGAATTATGTTGGCTTTGAGAACCGCTATGGTGGGTGGCTCATTCACATACAACTGCGACTTACGAAAACCCCACAAAGAATGTCTAATGGGATCAAATCGTACGATCTCGGTGGCCAGTTCACATCACCTCCACGTGAAATGACCATGCCCTCGAATTGCTCGTACAGAATATCCAATGTGGCTTTAGCTGTGTGGCACTAAGCACCATCCTGTTGAAACTGTTGAAGTAGAGTAAGTATCTCAAGTAAACTATTGAATTAATGTATCAATTTTAGACATCTCAACTCACACTTTTTATTATGTCAAAATTACTTGAGATATTTCCTCTATTTCAACATGGTAGCAGAGCGTGGTTGGTTAGCCTGAGGTTCCGGAGTATAAGAAATATTTGCAAATTATGAAAAACTGCTGAAATTTTCTTGCTGAAAATTTTTGACATTGACAAGTGTTCCGAAGCAATCATTTCATTCAGCTGAATTCAAGCTCTACCAAAAGCAAAATGGATGCAACTTAAATACAAATAGGATTACTTGACGACAAGTCAAACTGGTCATCATGGAAATACAAGAGCAGCTTACTATTACGAAGTATTCGAGGCGGTTTTGAGGTAGTTGAAGGAAAATTAACTTTTCTCTACCCAAACCTTTACCAGAAAACGCAACCCAAACTCGGAAAACAAAGTATGAGAAGGAGTTGAAAGACTTCAATCAAGCAGACAATAATGCTTTACTGGTTCTTACAGTAAATATGACTTAAGAAACTCTTGCAAAACTTCTGAGGTACACTACTGCTCGTGAAGTGTGGCAAGAGTTACACAGGCTGTATGATGGTTATTTTAAGGACAAAACATACGACACATGCGTGCAATTCTTCAGCTACACACGACACCCAGAAGATGACATTCCATCTCATATTTATAAACTCAAAAATCTTTGGAATATTCTGCTATGTTGAAGTAGAGGAAATATCTCGAGTAAACTCTTGAATGAATATATTAATTTTGACATAATAAAAAGTGTGAGTTGAGTTGTCTAAAATTAATCCATTCATTCAAGAGTTCACTTGAGATATTTCCTTTACTTCAACAGAAATAAGATGTCGTGGGTGTCCATATCATCCAATTCAGAGCAAAAGAAGATGGTAATCATTGACCTATAGTTCTCGCCGTTTACATGGCCAACGTCGTTCTCATAGAAATATTGACCGATGACGCCGCCAGTCCAAAGTCCACACAAAACAGTGACTTTATCGAAATGCATTGGACGCTCTTGGATTTCATGGATTATCGTCCCAAATTCGACAATTTTGTTTGTTCACGTACCCATTCATCCAGAAATGAATTTAATCGCTGAAGATGATTTTGCGATGAAAGTCAGTGTTAGTTGCCAATCGCTCCAGAGCCCATTCAGCGGACAGTGTCGTTGTCAATGGTTGTTTACCTTCAGCTCCTGGGTTAGTTGAAATTTGTATGGGTGCAGGCCCAAATCGCGACGCAAAATTCGCCAAGTTCTGGTCTGCGAAAGGTCGAGTTCTTGCGAGTGGCACGAATATGACTACCTCGGATTCCCTGCACACTCTCACAGACAGAGGCCATGTTTTCGGCGGATCTTGCATTTCGTCGGTGTACGGGTGTTGGTTTACTGAACCAGTGGGCTCAAATTTATTCACCACATTGCTAATAGTCCTGTCGTTAGGACGATTATGGCGACCGTAAAATGGGCGAAGCACGCGGTACGTTGCCCGAACAGAACACACATTTTAATGAGACAATTTTATTATTCGCGCGTGTTGCTGAATGCTATATTCGTTCGTGGTGATTGGGCAAAACAGACTGAATAAATAACAACTAATTTGACAAATGTAGTTTCAACAAGGTGTCCGTTATAGAGTCCCTGTGGGAAGACCCTATAGCAAAGAAGTCTACAAATATATGGTGTGGTAAATGATCTAATTCAAGGGCAGAAAAATTACAATACAATCCATCAGGTATATACGTCACCAATTGATGACGTATTCCTCAACAAGAACCTCACAATGAAAATATCTTAATTGATATGAACAAAATAAGCAAATGCAAAGTCCTATGATTGCTTTCCAATAAACTCAGCTCATTAATATTTACGGTGATCAAATAAAGTAAACTTTTTAGCCGGAGATAACCATCATAGCTATTTTTTGGGATGGTTGGTCGTGGTTTGAAGCTTTTTATGCCTAAATGTTGCATAAGACGAACGGGAATCGACTTCATCAAAAACACATATGAGAGCGTTACAGTGCTTTTAAAAGCGGTCTAGATATGTGGTGGAAGATTTCCCTTGCTCTGGTTTGCTATCAACATCCACAACTGAACTTAACGTCGCCAAATTAAAGGAAATAATGACTGAAAATCGTCGTTTATGTCTGAGAGAGATAGCCGCTGAAATTTCTACGTCTCACGAATGAGTTCGTACTATTTTATACGATTTTTTTAGCATGACACACATTACCGCTTGACTTTTGTCAAAAGACCTAAGTTTTCTGCAAAAACTCAATTGCGTAAAGGTCGCTGAAAACGTGTTACAACGAGTCAAATCCGACCCCATGGGTTTATGAATTTGATATGCAAACCAGTCAACAGGCTTCAGTATGGTGCCTTCCAAATGAATCGAAACCGAAAACAGCTCGTCAAAGTTGATCAAAAGTGAAGGTGAAGGCGATTACCATGGTATTGTGAACGAATTTCTAGACAAAAACACAAAAAGTCTTGTCGAACAGCCATCGTATTCACCTGATATGGCTCCGGTCGATTTCTCCTTTTTCCAAAACTAAATTACCACTTCGGTGCACCAGTTTTCATGCTTTACATTACTCAAAAGAGAATTCGCAGCGAGTGCTGAAGTCGATTCCAAAGAACGTGTTTAAAAAACGTTTTGATGATTGTGTGTCGTTGGCATGAGTGTATTATTTGGGAGGGAGCCTATTTGGAATCCGATATAATACATTTTGTTGAACAGTACATATTTTGCGTTTCATTGACCAATTCCTGATAGTATTTTGACATAGTCGTAGTTTTAACACCATATTTATGTTGTAGTTGAGTACAATCAAAATTAAAGACAAACTTGTCTCTGGACTATTGTAGTGCTTTGGTAACCATACAAACTCTCCAAGGTGGAAGTTCGGGAGGCTTGAGGTCTCGAAAAAGTGACTAAAAAACTTTCGTGAAATAGTTAAAAAAACAAATTTCTTAATTTTCTTGGTGAATTCAACCGAAGTAAGTTTATTGTGGCTGAAATACCTTTCTGGCGTCTTACCCTGTGTAGCTCTAACTTGCCCAATAAAAAAGTCCACTCAGATTTGAGTATTCCAACATCAAATTACCAACATATCTGCTTTTAAACAGCTGAGTTATGCATTAGGAATAAAATTAGGAAACACTTTCACGTGAAAATGGAATCCATATAAAAGAATATCGTGATGTAATGTGTGTGATTTTAGCATGTGATATGAACGTTCATAAAAGATGTGAAGAGAGCGTCCCCAATCTTTGCGGTTGTGATCACACTGAAAGAAGAGGAAGGATCCAGTTGAAAATCAACTGTACGGGAAGCAAGTTGACCGTCGAAGGTTTGTACAAGTTATCTATATAATTTCAACTTCACGATTTGATTTTCACAAACTCCACTATATTTGAAAAATATATATCACGAGATGTTTCGCTAGCACAGTAGCTTTATCAAGTTGTTTCTTACAGTAATATTTATAAACTACAGGTAACCATAATTGAGACTACCTCCAAAAAATTACCTAAACCTCTACATAAGGTACCTGTTAAAACATATTACCTCACATCTACATCAATAATAATTCTTTCTCGGTTTTTAAGAAAACAAGTTCAATAATGGTGATTTATTTAAATCCAATTGGTCATTCATGTTTAAATTTTTAACTGTATTAATTTCCATTGCTTCCAAATGATTCACTTTCAAACCTTTATTTTCTATGTGCAAAATAACTTCTACTCATTATTTGCGAGTGCTTTCGATAGCAGGCTGTACTATCATCTTTTATCAAAATATTTTAACTGTACAAATTTCTTGATTTCTGGTTGTTTGGTCTGGGAGCATATTTTTTTCTGGCTAATTTCCCTATCTAGATTGTTGCCAGACAAAGATAACCAGAATACTTTGTGTAACATTTAATTGTAGGCTGCTAATTTATGACTGTCGGCAGGAAAATAATCACTTAGGATTGTAATGTCTGTATAGCTCGGTTTTCTGAATACATTGAACTCAAATTCATTCTGAGTCCAATTATTATTATTATGAGTACTATGAGCCCTTTTTTCGAGATTGGGAACAGAAAATAATCTGTGGGTGCTAAATCTGGCGAACAGGGTGCATAAGGTAGCAATTCAAATTTTAATTCGTTAATTTCGATCATTGCGATAATGGATTTGTGAGTCGGTAATTTATATTGTGAATTCATATAAAGCTAAGTAGGCACAATTCAGTGTAAACGTACTAAGGAAACTATTGTTAAGCGAAACTCATGTTGCGGTTTTGTAAACTGTCTAGTGGACATCTCACCACGAGGTGTTACTTGCATAATTTATGGATTTCCATCAAATATCGACTAATTGCATCTCATATATGACACATACACTTAAAAGAAAGTTTTTGACTCTCTACTTCTCCATCTTTTTACAAAAGAATGTGGAAATTTTTCAAAGAAATAAAGAAAGCAATTAGTTTCTAAAAGAAATCTTTACAGAGATTGGAGTTATAACTTCATGATAAATTTCAGAGAGAGATTATGTTCAATCGCAATCTCTTCTCGTTATATACGAAAGAATATTGATATAAAATTTCTCTCACATATCATACACTTGATGTAGGTACTTCAAAGTTTCGGGCCAAGACAACATCTGTGCTAGATTTACATATCTTTGTAAATTATTTTCAATTAAAAAAAAAGTGGGAATCTTCAAAAGAAATGAAGAAAGCAAATCATGTCAAAAGTGAACCCTATACAAAGATGTGTAGATCATGCAAAAAAGTAACTTTCTGACACACACTGGAAGAAAAAGCCCTTTCGAAATAACTACTTTCATATAAACATTGAATCACACGAAAGAAAACATACCGTGCCCCTCTTTATTTTTTGAACGGGTCAACTCAAAAAATTGAAATTTGGGATAATGAAATTATTGCATGAATACTTTATTTTGCAGTGCAATTGACAGATGAAACTCTCAAGATGGCGACTGGTTGCCATTTTGTAGTAGATGGAGATATTGAATTTATATTCTAGGGTTGTGAAGTATTCGTCAGGAGGATGATGTATCACAAGACCCCCTTTTCATTTAATTTTTTTTTCTCAGATGGCGCCCAGTCGCCATCTTAATAGTTTCATCCATCAATTCCACTTCAGAATAAAGTATTCATGCATTAATTTCATCATCCCAAATTTCTGTATTTTGAGTTGATCCGTTCATAAAATAAAAGGGGGGGGAACATTAAAGAAATGCAACAACTACTATCGTTAGGACATTGAATTATGCAAAAACACTTTCCTATTCAGTTTGCACTCCAAACATTCGTCATGGAATTGAATCAGATATCATTCACAGGATTGCTACACAATATAGTATACTAGTTGTTGCCGTGGCTTCGCCTGCGTAGAATTTAGTTCGTCTCATTAAGTTTCGTGAGAGACCATTTCAAATAAATAGTTACAATATTTTTTATTAGCAAAAAACGTCAGGTTTCCAACTTCACAACCGGCTAAATTCAATACAATCTTTGAACACCTATTTTGCCACCTTCGGGGTGTATAACTGTATTTATGTGAAGTTTCATCTAAATCCGTTCAATCGTTTAGGCGTGAAAAAGCCACATACATACATACATACATCCTAAAAAACTTTCACATTTATAATATTAGTTTAGATATAAATGAAGAGGTAAATTTTTACTTACATGGAACATCATCCTCGATGGCGGACATTAGATGTTTCGGAATGAAACACTTGCCTAATTGCCTGTTCAGTACCAATCGGTTAACTTCTGAATATTTCCCAAAAATTATTCTCCCTCAAAAATATACCCCTTTCAATTCAGACAAATATTTAACGATTTCAGAAATGCTTCTATGCCCTTTTTTAGACATCCGAGTGATATATCGAAATACATCTAGGAATAAAAAATGATTTTGTTTTTTCGACGATTCGTTCAACTCATGTAATTTCAGTATTACAAGGGAAAAACCTGATCCCAATGGACCCGAACGGTCTGAGCGATCCGTACGTAAAACTCAAGCTGATTCCTGATTCGGACAATGTCAAAAAGAAAACGAGGACTATCAAAGCGTGTCTCAATCCTGTTTGGAATGAAACTTTGACTTTGTAAGTATGTGCAGCAAGTTTATTATTGGATTGTATTTAAAAAAAAATGATTTGACTTTCTAATTTTTCGTCATCAAACAGAAAACGTGAAACACTTCCAAATAAAGGAAGGAATAACGTAATTACAATATTAACTCTTTATAAAGATTTTTTTTTCTTTCTGTCTTTTTTTTTGGATTTCCCACATTTTTCTTTGATGATGAAGAAGTAGAAAGTCTTTTCTCCTCGAAGAACTAATCTGTCCCATTTATGTTTCATTTCAAATAAATTTTAATTATTTATTTAAATTTTTGTATTAAGTCGTTTACAAATGTTGCTGAAACTTTATTTATTTTCTCAAAAAACATTCCATATACCCAATTTTAGTCTTGAATTATCTCAACTTCATTCAGATTCATTGTTTTTTACTTCAATGGGACTATTATTAACTACAGAATATTATACAATTACAGTAAAAGAACTTATTTTACAAAAAAAACACGTGAAGTAACTTTACAAAAACAATAAAATGCGTTCAGAAGTGAAATTGATTTTAGAAAGTTATGAAATTATGAATGATTCAGTGTATGATATAAAAATAATAGGAAGACGTAAACTATGTGATTCCTTTCATCAAAATATTTGTCAATTGGTAAATAAATTCCATATATTATTATCGAGAGGATTTTATTCGCTGTTTCACCCATTCATCATTCATTCAAATAATGAAAGACCTTATTTGAAAACTTGTTTAAATATTTATTATAACGAAACAGGGAAAATACTTCAGGAATACACTTACACTAGAATGTTAAATCAAAAATACAATAAATCACCAAAACTTACATTATACCGCCACCCAGAAGGATCGAAAAAAGGAGAAAGGAGAGACTTTGATCCGATCACTGTACTAATAAGGTAAAATGCTCAGTATGCAATCTGTGCAAAATTTGCGTATTTTATATTTCTATATCCTGTGATCGTATCAATTTTTGTGTCTATGAACTTGGAATAGTAAAATATAGAATTCTGAATATTGAAGTGGAGGTTGGAACATCTTTGACAATAGATTGGCACTTCTTCACTTTATATGGAATTGAAATATATGACTTTCTTCAAAAATTTGTTAGTATTTTATTTTTTGGATGCAATTTGCTTTGAATTATAGTATGATTATGAATATGCCAAATTTCCGTAAAATACAAGTTTGATTTCTTTGTATTAATTCTGACTCCTTTCAATTTGAAGTGTAATAAATTGTTTGATATAGGTATTCGAATTTATTGTTGTTTCCATCATGATAATTCATTTATGCTTCTAATTATTTTGTTTTTCAAAATTTTCAAAGATTTGATAACGATTTACTCATTGATTCCCAAATAGTAATAATGTAATTGTGAATAAACATACTAAAATTGGTCGATTTTTTTTTAAGTTTAAGCTGTATAAAATAACTCATTTTGTAAAAAATTCAATGAATTGTGATCTTTTTCTTATGATTCCTTCAATATGTTCATTCCATAACAATTCGTCTTCGATGTGCAAACCCAAAACTTGCATTGCTTCTGTACATCGAATGGCATTATTATTGAATATTATATAATTAGTCGAAGTATTGATTAGTCTCACAGAAATATTTATATACGAGGACTCAATAAAACTCTGCATGAATGTATACTTTCTAAGCCAAAAAAATATTCTAATCATTTTTTATTTTCTCAAAACTGCCTGAGAGAAACCAGCACATAACTAAAAAAAAATAAACGAGAACAAGGATTTTACTAGTTCGGACTTTTATTGTCTAGTATGATTCGAAATCAAGTTACTTCGACTGTTAGTATCCACTTCAGATCCGGAAACACCATCCGTAGCAAACTCACGAAAACCAGGCCACCAAACGCGGACTGCTATTCCAAAAATTGCATTTACCTGATACCCTGTGAGTGCGACAAATTCTATATCGGTGAAACTAAGAGGTCATTGAAAGTCCGCATTGCCGAGCACAAAAAACACACAGCGAAGAGAAACCAGCAAAACGGGAATAGCAGAGCATGTTTGGACTCATCAACATAACATTAAGTGGCTGAAATCATCCACAGGGAGGAACACTGGTTTAACCCTTTCTGTCCCGGGCCTTGATTTACATATTGGTCCCTATGTCCCAGAGGTTTTTTCATGCTTAGAGTCCCATTGCCCATATATACGTCGCATATAAATAAACAAATAAATGACCAAAGAATGTTTTTTTAATGAGAAAAATATATTTTTCAACGAACCTAAACGTTTTCTGTTTAGAAATACCCATCAGAGAGCAAAACCAACTCGAAAAAATCTAACTAACTTAAAAAAAATAATGTAAAAAATTAACATTATATAAGTTTTCTTTTGTGTGATACTCCTCAAAACACGGTACTATGCATAGACCAACTCCGCATCTTGCACACATGTATCTCGATTCGCTTCTTTTTTTCTGGCCACTTCAGTGGCTACAAACGACACATCGCTTCACTTTCTCATCAGGAACTGAACTAGGAAAATGTCGCCCTTTGAGCCTTTGAGGATTTTTGGTTAAAGGGTTTATACTTCTGTTTTTTTCATGTTTATATCTGAAACAAGATGAAGAAATAAGTGCAGAATGAAAAAAATAATTATTACAAACTTACCCATCAAAAAGTGCTCCTATAATGGTAAGTTGATAATCTAGGAGCGGTAGCCTTCCTGAAGATTGGCTCAAATAGAGTGCATGTGAGTTGAGAAGAGAAACATCAACCATGTGGAAAAATAGTATTTATACCATTTTGTGGACTTTCTTACACATTCTGTGGATCTCAACATCATATCTGATCGATATATTGCACCCATATTTTCGTTGTAATCCACAACAACAGCTGGTTTTTGTATGGATTCTTTGGTCTTGAAATCTACTTTGTCTAACGCTACTATGCGATCTTCATGAAAAGTAGTTAGCATCATATCACGCCTATCCTTCCATTTCACGCAAAGCAGATTTTCGGCACATATCGAGATGGACTCTCCTTTAGATTATTTCTTGGTTGAATTGGGCATCTCTTTACGATTAGGACGGACTGTCCCGCAGGAATTAGTCTTATGTTTATGCAGATATGTACACAAAGTAGGGCTAGTGTACCAGTTGCCTGTGTATAGGCAACTGGTATATAAGATTTGCTACTACTGAGCCTGATATTCCAAGATCTTGGAACAGAGTAATATCTGTCGATTTTCCAGTATAGACAATGACACCTAATACATAGCCTGTCTCGCAGTCACATATTAGAAAAAGTTTTATTCCAAAACGATGGCGTTTGGTCTTTATACACTGTTTGAATCTTCTGAAACCGTGATGTAATTTTATTGAACACTGATCTCAGTTTGTGAAAAGAATCGCCTTCTTTTTGGTCAGCATTATCTGAAAAGTATAATATGCCAAGGATTGCTTGGAAACGATTCCTTGACATCATTTCGGAAAGTGTATGAAGCAATTTATCAGTTGACTAGTTTTCTCTAACTTTATTTTTTCCAGTTAGGCTGGCAACATAACACCCAAAAACACGTAAAATTCGTTGATATCAGTTTCGCTCCATTTCTTTTTTTTTATTTGCATAAACCTCGGAAGCATATTTGTTAGTTTCAGAGACAATAATCTCAACTATCTCTGTGTCCATAAATAAAAGAAAATAACTTAAAGCATCCGACTTATTTTCTATGGAGTCCAAGTGTGCTCCAGTCTCTCTATCATCAAAATCATGCACTACGGGAATAAACGGAGTTTTGTTCCATTTCAGAACCAAATTTTTTTTAGGGCCAAATTATATTGAATCACAGGTGACTTATTATTTGTATTTGTGTCTTGACCATCAACAGGATTTTCTTCGTCAGATGAGCCATTATTGCTATTTGCGAACTCATCAAATATAACTTCATTTATCTCGTCATCTTCATCTGAATTGGGATTATACTCACTGCCACTAGAGACATATGGCTCTTCATCAGAGTCTAGAGCTTCCAAAATATCGTCATATTCCTGTTTTGATAACCCACAACAGTTTTCTACATCCTCATACCTTTTACGCTTAGAACCACGTGCTTTACTCATATCGCGCGCACGATTGCGACTGTTGCGCTCGAAATGCTTTTTTAAATTGAATTTTGAAGTGGTTCAACACGCCAAATCGTTCTACCGAACTCACCTTCGACCTATATATTATGTAACAGCGTGGCCACCAGTGATACAATATAGAATTTATCTTCAATATGTGAACAAATATATACGCCAATGGGTCCGCATGACCTGTCTTAGGTGCCAATATTTTGCGGCTTTGGGACCAATAATCTAACATTTTCGGACATATTTCTACGGCATTGGGACACCAACGGGTCTAAAATTTTATAGGTATGGCATATTTTCGGCGTTGGTAAATTGAGACCATAGCACCTTGAACATATATATACGGCGGCTGGGACTACAGACCCACTTTTTGAAAAACATATATATGCGACATTGGGACAGAAAGGACTGGTTTAAGAGGAAGTTCAAAGAAGCTGCTTATATGTTGCCATTCAGCCAAGCTAGCGTAGAGATACGCAATATATGGAAATATAATTGAGCTAGAGAACAGTCAACTTTCGCTAAAAGGTGAAGCGGAGACGATTGTGGATACTTACAATCGAAATGTCGTGAAGTATCTTGATTCCGAGTCATATCAGAATTATATTAGACAATGGAAGTCCGAACTAGTGAAATTCACCATGAAACACTGAGAACCACTTTCAAACAAACGAAGACCAAGGATGTAGCCTTGTGGTACACCTTGAAGAGAGATTTCATTATCTACTTGGAAATTTTGAATGGATTTTACGAGAAAAATTAACGGATTTTCCTATGAATGATTTTCAGCGAGCTGAAATCTGAGGACAAAGATCGTCGTCTTCTTATCGAAATCTGGGATTGGGACCGGACATCAAGGAACGATTTTATGGGTTCCCTGTCATTTGGGATTTCTGAAATTTTAAAATCACCTGCCGATGGCTGGTTCAAACTACTTACACAAGAAGAAGGTGAATTTTATAATGTGCCAGTACCAGAGGAGGGAGTTGACATGGTAACGATTAAGAATCAGCAAAGGGTATGTTGGTTGAAAATAGTGGGTATGCTCGCTGATTGAAGAAGTTTTTTTTTAGACGAAATCTATTATTAAAAAACCGTCGTTGTTGGTAGATAAAGATGTGCCACACAATATGGGAAAGAAGGATATGATCAGGGCTACGGATTTCAATTTCCTTATGGTTTTGGGCAAAGGTTCGTTTGGAAAGGTGAGTATCTGTATCTGTAGAGTAGGGAGGGTAAGTGTAGACCTACAGCACTTAGGCAACATGTGTACATCCTCCCGAGGAGTTGTCCTCCTAGGTCATCGTCCATCCTGTCCTTTCCAGGAAGGTGGACAGGTCACTGGGAGACATCTCCTTCATGTCGACAGGTGAAGGCCAAGACTCGCCGAACACACACTTTGGCAACCTTGAGGTCTCTCACGGCGGCCTTCGTGAAGGTTTTGGAAGGTGCAGCGACATTACAGTCGTTGCGCGGCTTCTTCAACCTTCTTGGGATTCCCTCCATGGAGGTGCTCAAGTAAGGGCGCTTTCCTGCAGGGGCAGCCAGTTCCTTGCCTTCATTCAAGGCGGAGCTCTTGGTGCTCGCCGCAGGAAGTGCCCATGCTTTTGGAGGTGAAGTGGGGGAGGAGGAGGGTGCACTTATAGTTGCTGCCACTCCTGCCTCTTTCGTTCTCTTTCTCCTTTTGGCCTCGGCGCCGCGCATCGGCGTCGCAAATGCGCTTACGCCTTGGCCTCTCTCTGTATTATATCACGAGGTGATCTGCCATGTCCAGCCTCATTCCAAGTGGTAGATTGGGGTGGACATTTCTGTTCATCCCCAGCCACCGCCATAAATTGAGGTGAGCATTTCTATCCAGCATCGGGATTAGTTTTTGTTTTTTCAGTGTCTGTTTCATTCATGTGTGTTCCCACGCGTAGCAGGGGAAAAGTTGGTCACTCTGGCAGAGCTCTGCATTACCAGAGGAAGGCTGGTTACAATGAGGTTTCGCCCGTTTCCCCAAGGGGATCGTTCGTAACCGCATTTCACCCTGCGGGCATTCAGCTGTCGGCACGATTCCTTACATCTTAGCTTGGGTAGGCTGGTCCACGGTGGCATGTTTCGCAAAGGCTCTTGGGCAGTTTTGGTTCCCCACACCCTATTCATTTCTGCCACTGACCAGGAGTCCGGGGACCCCCTCCGTAAGGCCATATTGGCTTCCCGGACAGGGCTCCCAGTCCCCTGGCCGTTCCCCTATCCGCCACCTGGGGACGCGCCCACAACCCACGGGAGAAAGGTGAGTATTTTCCATGAAATGTCAGTTGATTTTTTTTCAAATTATTCCATTCAATATTTAGATTGTTTTATGTTTTGTTGTTATTTACAGGTAGTATTAGCAGAAAGAAAGGGCACCGATGAACTGTATGCTATAAAAATTTTGAAGAAAGACATTATCATTCAAGATGATGACGTGGAATGTACGATGGTTGAAAAACGAGTGTTGGCACTTTCCAATAAACCTCCATTCCTAGTACAGCTGCATTCTTGTTTTCAGACAATGGTATGCATGACTATTTTCTCACATTTTGTACCATAGATGAGATAAGAAAAGGATTCAAATATGTCAAATGATATAGTATCAAGTTATACGAGGTGTGTTCAAAGAAGAAGGTGAATGTTCAGAATTCGCGGGCTACATACATTCTAATAGCGATTTTTTTTTATGTTGGTACACGCGTGTCGAACATATGTTTACAGTTTCATCGATTCAGCAGTTGGTGAGAGGCATAAAAGTTAAAACAGTTTTGCATATTCGGCGATTTTCTGCTATCGAAACAAACAAAGAATTTGCATCATATTTTGTGTAAATTCGGAATCGAGTGCTCGAAAACACTTGAAATGTTGACAGTGGCATACGGTGATTGTACTCTGAGTCCGAAAAATGTTTACAAGTGGTACAAACTTTTCATAGAAGGTCGAGAAAATGTGATTGACGACGCTTGCCCTGGACACCGCAGCACATCAACAACTGATGAAAATGTTGAGAAAGTAAAGAAAATTGTTATTTTATTTTATTTTTCATACAGACTTAGCCTAATTACATGGAAATTCTTATTGCTTTGAGAAGCATGGTTGAGAGAGGACTCAGAGCAGTTATTTTTTTTACTCGCACTGGGTAGTTCAAAAAGAATTGGACTTCTTGAGTTCCAGTATGTTTATATAAGTAATATTGTTGTTTATCATCTTATATGAAAACATTATTTGTATTACATCCCGTCTAATATAAAGAGATAATACTTTGAAATGCTGCCTCAAATCCATTGATCTGACTTTTGTGTTATCCGACCAACAATATTATTCTTTATAGTATAGATATCTCAGTAACCTATTTTTTATTTTTTCGATTCTGTTTGAATGCATTTGTGGTTGGGATTTCCAAATGAGCGAAATAAATTCTAATATTGGTCTTACAAGTGTGATATAGAGAAATTTTATCGTGGCTACGTTCACAAACGAATAGCTAGATCTTATAATAAATCCCAACATTTTGTTAGCCCTTTTACAAATTCCATCAAAATGTTTCGAGAGTAACAAAATGATATCATAAATGATCCCAAGATCTTTCACTTCGTTTTTTCTGTTAAGGGGAAAGTATCTCCAATTTTGTAACTAAATTCAATAATGTTTTTTTCGCAAAGAAAAGGTACCGATATTACAGTTACCAAGATTAAAGTATAATTTATTTTCAATGTTGTAGTGAAACACAATCTTTGACGGTTTGGATTTCTTTAAAGTATTTGAAATCAATCAAAAAGGATGCCTTTAGAAAAATGTAAACATGATATTAGATCATTGATGAATAAAACAAACAGCAAAGGCCCCAAGTTTGATCTCTGTGGGATACCCGAGTTGATTTCATAGGGATCAGAAAAATACCATTATATCTGACTACAAGGTTACGATTCTGGAGATAATTATTGATACAAAATATGTTGAGTTTTAAAAGCAATATGTCATTATCAACTTTATCGAAAGCTTTCCAGAAATCTGTATAACTCGTATCAAGTTGCTGTTCATTCTGAAAAGTTTAGTAAACATCATTGGTGAATAGGAAAAATTTGTATTTATAGATTATCTATCAACAAAACCATGTTGCCACTCATCAATAGTATTTCGAGCATAAAGATAAATTTTGTTGTATAGGATTTGCTCAAATAATTTTTCCGGTGCACATATTATGAAATTCCTCTAATATTAGTGATATCGTTTTTGTCCCCAAATTTGTAAATGGGTACACATATGGCTGACATCCAAATCATTCAAACTCTTCGTTTTCAATCGCTAGATTATAAATGAATAGGAGTGGAGATTCCAACCATTCAGAACATGCTTTCAGTACATATTGTTTTCTGAAGAGCAGTAGTTGTTATAACATTAACTTGGGATCCAGTATCGAGTTTCAATTCAATCGGTTGATCGTTAATTTTGAGCAAAGCGAGCCATTCATTTTTCCCATGTGTAATAGAATCACAGGCACACAGGTTTAAAGAATCTAGCTTAAAAACATCGTTAGAAAATAAGGGACATACCATATACCAAGTTAGAAAATAAGGGACAACTACCATTTCTTGATGTTTTGGTAATGAGGAGCCAATATGGAGGGTTAGAATACGATACAAGCACGTACAGGTATATTCCTAACAGTTCACATCACTGTGGACAGCACAAGCGTGCTGGGTTGAATTTTTTATTGCATCGTCTTTTGACTTTCGCTCTAACACATGATAGGTTCACAAAAGAAAGAATTACAATACAGGAAATAGCAGCCACTAACGGTTTCTCGAGGGGTATTGTAGATGATATAATAAGGAAGAAGAAGTTTAGGTTAAGAATGAACGAAATCTCGACTTTCAGAAAGGACAAAAACCAAGATGAATACATCTCAGTTCCATACCACCAATATACGAGGAACTTTGGAAAGATTTTCACGAAACTAGGTATGAAGGTGATTTTTAAAACAAGTCATACACTATACAACCTTTTGGGAAGTCCAAAAGACAAAGTCGAGAATTCGGAAAAGTCTGGAATTTACGAAATTGAATGTAAGGACTGCGATGCAAAATATTATGGACAGACAAAAAGATCTATTAAAGTAGGATATAAGGAACACATAGCACACTAAAAATATGGAAGACCTGAAAAATCAGCAGTCACCCATCATATTCTGCAACAAAACCACTCCATAGACTTCAGTTCATTAAGATTAGTTAGACAAATTAACAACAACAGGCAACTAGATGCCTATGAGAGTGTAGAAATAAGTAAACACAATAATATTATGAATAACGATGAAGGACCTATACCAAAGAGGATGCTATATAGCTTGTTAAAATAAAATAATGTTGTTGGGTTTACTGATTACTACATAAGGACACATTGCAAAAATAAATTTGGATAGGCAATATTGTGAAATTAATTTTTATATAGCTGAAAATTGTTTTATATAAACATATATTGTAAAATAATAGATAAGGCAAAATTGTAAAATTAATTTAGGTTGGTATACCTGTATGGGTGGTACGCCTGGATGGTTTACTTGTATGGGATACCTATATATAGCATAAAGAGTGCTAGCTAGCATCAGTTTCTAGTTTTAAACTTCCTCTTTGAAGATGATCACTTGGTGATCGAAACACGTATCGCGGTGTTGAAAATAACGATTTGATGTTGGGAAAAAACTCCAGTAATATTCATAAAAGAACAAAAACCCAAGCAGATGGATATTTTGTACACATGCACGATAATAGAGTTATGAAAAGTTAATTTCCTAACGTGAATCTATAATACAAAAATAAAATTCAATAAAGAAATGAAATGTTTTCAAACTAAATAGTTGTAGGAAAAACCCTACAGTACTCCCTTGCCAGTGATGAACGTTATATAAAAAAATATTTAGTAAACTATGGTATAAAAAAGAATTATAAATACGGTGGTACAGTTATTTGAGCTACTGGAAGTTGAATACATTTTTGCAAAAATGAAAACTGAAATTGTATATTCCAAATTAAATAAATTCTGCAAAGATTGAAAGTTGAATCGCGAGTTTTAAATTTCGATAAAGAAATGAAACGAGAAAAATTCAAATTTTGAGTATTTGAACGTGAATTTGCAAAAAATTATTGAACTGTATTAAATGGTGTAAGAAAATGAAATTGTAAAAGAAAATTTTGAATTATTTCATTTTGTGATAACTAATTTATACCGTCAAAAAAATAAAAAGTAGTAAAAATAATTTAATAGAAGCTTTTCTGGTGAATCGAACGCGTCGGCCTGAGCGCGTCCTGGGGCAGGTGGTGATGATGCTTTCTGTTGCAACAGAGCTCGATTATCTCCTGATGGACCTGGAATAAAGTCGTCGTCAAGGTCAATGGTACCCTCTGGTGCAGCGATATCCTCGGAGACGATGTAGGCTGGTTTCAAGCGGTCGATAGAAACTGGGACGCTTCTGCCGCGCATTGAGAGCGTGAAGTGTTTCTCGGCTCGGGAAACAACTTCGTGGGGACCATCGTATGGCAGCTGGAGCGGTCCTCTGGGAGAGTAGTGTCTGACAAAGACGTGGGTGGCGGTGGCAAGATCTTTGAAGACAAAAAGTATTCGCTCGCTGTGTCTAGTGCCGCTGACTGGCCTGAGCGCCTGGAAGTGCTGGCGCAGCTCACGTATGAACTCAGCGGAGACGTCTATGCCCCTGGTGGGTGGACGCCAGGAATTCGCCAGGAAGATTGAGTCGTTCACCATACACCATTTCTGCAGCAGCTGCCTAAATATCTTCTTTCCAAGCTGCACGTATTCCCAGAAGAGCGGGCGGGAGCGTATGTGTCCACCGGTCGAATTGCAGACACTTGATGGAGGCTTTCAGCTGTTGGTGGAGTCGCTCGACCATGCCGTTGGCTGCGGGATGGAATGCTATTATCCGTAGGTGGTCGGTACCCATGAGTTTGTTGAGGCACCGGAACAGGTGGGACTCAAATTGTCTACCATGGTCTGTGGTCAGGCGGAGTGGAACGCCGTAACGTGCGACCCAGGTGGAATAGAACGCTCTGGCAACGGTCTCACCTTCCTAGTCCTGGAGAGGTATTGCTGCTGGGCATCGTGATAAGCGGTCTCCGCAACGCTGCACAGGCAGACCTTCCAGCGGTTCATCGACGAGAAGCTACGTGGACTAGACTTCGTCTATGCCTAGTTGTAGGAAAAACAGGTCTCTTCAATCTTGAGAAGAGGGAGAAGTCGCATGGGGAAATCCGGTGAATATGGTGGCTAAGGCATGATTGCGGTGTTGTTTATGGCCAAATAATTACGAACCAACCATGACGAGTGAGCAGGTGCATTATCGTGATGAAAAAGTCACGAACTGTTTTTCCACAATGCCGGATGTTTTCTTCATATTGCTTCTCGCAAGTGGCTCATACCTATTGACCGTACGACCATGTGGCAATAACTCATGATGTTCTACGCCACGGAAATTAAAAAAAAATGACCATAACTTGGCGTGTTTTTTCTGTCTTGGCTTTTCTGGGCTCTTCCATTGGGACGACTGAACTTTGGTTTCAATATCATAATCATATACCTTTGATTCATCAGTTATGGTCTTCTCAAGCAAACCTGAAACACCGTTGACATCATAGTGATTCGACGATTCTCCGTAACAATTTTCTTCACTTTCTCAACATTTTCATTGGTTATTGATTTGCTGGGGCGTCCAGGGCCAGCGTCGTTATTCACATCTTCCCGGCTGGGAAAAGCTTGTAACACTTGTAAACATTTTTCTGACTTAAAATACAATCACCGTATACTACTGTCAACATTTCAAGTGTTGTGGAGCACAAAAGGGGATGCAAATTCTTTGATACATTTTTGAGATAGCAGAAAATCGCTGAACATGCAAAACACTTTTGACTTTTATGCATCTCACAAATAAACTAAACATGCTAAACAGCTGAAACTGTGAACATATGTTCGTGACTAGTGTACCAACATGAAAAAATCGCTAATCGAATGTGCACGGCCCGCGAAATTTAAACGTTCACCTTATTTTTTGAACAGACCTCGTACAGTCATCGTGGAAGGTGTACTATATAAGCCAAATGACATCTTCATAAACTGTCATAAACATCCGGCAATGGAATTCCTTCTTTATCGTCTACTTTTATCGAAACTTACACTAAACTCAGGTGATTACAATCATTTTATGGAGCCCACTTCAAGATCACAAGTGGGCGCCGTAAGTGGGTTTGTATATCGATATTTTTCATTCATTAGTTCGAGTAGCTGATAAAAGATAAATGTTTCTGTTTTCATTATGAAATTTTTGTTTTCCAAATGAGAAATAACTTGACGTCTGCTTAATTTCATTGATATTTGCAATTCAGTATTTTCGTTTTTTCAATAGTTTTTTTCATAATACACAGTTTATTATCGTACCATTCATTGTTCATTGACCTCAAGAAACGTAATTAATGTTTATTACAAAGACCTTAAATGGGCAGCTATATAAAACTATATAAAACATGAAATATCTCTAAACACAGATATATACAGTGCATTTCTTCAATGTCCCGCACCCTTTTATTTTTTAACGGGTCAACTCAAAAAAATTGAAATTTGGGATAATGAAATTAACGCATAAATACTTTATTTTGAAGTGAAATTGACAGGAAAAACTTTAAATATGGCGACTGGGCGCCATCTGGAAAAAAAATTAAATAGAAAGGGGGGTTTTTTGACACATTTTTTTTGGGCTCCTGACGAATGCTTCACAATCCTAGAATATAATGTCAATATCTTCAGCTGCTACAAAATGGCGGAACTTTTAATAATTCCCTGAATACATTGACATTTAACTACCTAATATGAGGTAATAAGCTTGAGATCACTTCAGGTCACTTCAAAAAGAAGACCTTGAACTTCTTGACATAGATAGATAGATAGATAGATACTTCATTCATGTTTTTATACATACGTCACATAAAACAGTTACAACAGAAAGTAAAAATGTGAAAATTACAGCGAATAATTAAGTTATTTAAAGTCCATTACAATCAACACCATTTGTCAGACAATAAAAACATATTCAAACACAAATATGTATAGCTTTGTATACTTCATAAATACATAAATTCAGTTACTTGATTACAAATAGGGTATCGGATATGAAAAGTAATTGAAATACTCTTCAAAGGAGTAGAAACATTCCTCGATCAGAATACTCTTTACTTTCTTTTTGAAGTTGCTCAAACTCAACGTTTCGTTTTTCAGATTCTTAGGAAGAGCGTTAAAAAATTTTATCGATAGATACAGAGATGATTGTTTGATCTTAGTTGTTCTAGGCTTTGGCAGTCTTATATCACTTTTTCCTCTTGTGAAATATTCATGTACCTGCTCATATTTGACGGTATCACCACGAATATTTTTATTTTTTATATAAATCAAACATTCATATATGAAACAAGAGGGAAGTGTAAGTATCTTAAATTTTTTAAATAGTGGTTTGTAATAATCATTATAATCAACCTCTGCCATAATTCTTAGAACTCTTTTCTGCAAGACAAAAATTTTGGCTGTATGACTTGATGCACCCCAGACAACTATAGCATACGTCATTGCTGCGTGAAATATTGAAAAGTAAGATACCCTGATGAATTCTTCAGTTAGCTTGCCCTTCAATTGTCTAATAATAAAAGTTGCCGTCGATAACCGATAACAGTCTATCCGATATTTCACGCCGAACATTTTCGAACACAGTAACGTCAATACCTCTACAAATATTTATTATTCTCTGCCGTATATCCAAATTCAAAGCTGTCATATCTGCCATTCTGTTGGACCCTGACGGCCAATTCAACGACCAGGAAAAGTAGTATCCAAATAGTTTCTTACTTGTCTGAAGTAATGTGGTGGTGCTCCATCTTGTTGGAATACAATATCCATATCGAATTCGTTAGGATTCGCTTCGACGATTTCATTGATGAGAGGGTCAACAGTAGTTTCCAGCATATTCAAATACAGCTTCCCTGTTGATTTTGATGAATAAATAAAGGTCCTACAATATGGTTTCCCAATATTCCTGCCCAAACGGCAATTTTTTGTGGATATTGGGTATGTGTTTCACGGAAAACGTGAGGCGTGTTGTCACTTCAATAACGGCCATTTTGTCTGTGAACATTGCCGTTTAAAAAATGTACATTTGTCACTAAAACAAATATTGTGGGGATAGGTAGGATGCCTTGCAATTGTTTCCATCATGATTTCGCAGAATTCTGTTCTTCGATCAGGGTCATCTTCAGTTAATTGGTGCACCATTTTAATTTTGTATTTCTCTTCAAAAGTCTCCACACAGTAGAAGGAGATACCTCGCAAACATTCGCGACGGCATAAGTAGACTTTTCAGGATTTACTACCATCTCACCAATTATTTGCACCTGCTGTTCTTCCGGAATGGACGAATGACCTAGGGGCTTTTTGTTATGTACACTACCGGTAGTTGTGAATTTGAATACAAGTTTCCTCAAATATTTTCTACAGAAGACAATTCGGAAAACGTTCATTGAAAATCCTTTCGGTCTCGTGAAAGTGATGCGTCGCACTGTGAATAAAAGTCGCTTCAATTTTTTCTTCCAATGGACGAGAATTGACCATTTTAGAGATTGTTGACGTGGTACCTTTCTACTAGTAAAACCGAAAACTAAATGAGAATATTCGAACTGAACAATGATGTTCATTATCGTACTGACAATTTTTGTCGTTTTTATGAACAAAAAATAACTTAACAAACCTTATCGGGTTGTTGGAAATGCCATATGGCAGATAAATAGGAATATTTCTAGAAATATCGATATTAATGTGTTTGCCTTCAGGAAACTATTAAATGTTCCGCCATTTTTTAGTAGGTGAAGATATTGACATCATATTCTAGGGCTGTGAAGTATTCGCCAGGAGCTTCAAAATGATGTGTCACAAGATCCCCCTTTCCATTTAATTTTTTCCCAGATGGCGCCCAGTCGCCATCTTGAAAGTTTCATCTGTCAATTTCACCTAAAATGAAGTATTCATGCATTAATTCCATCATCCCAAATTCCAAATTTCTCTCTCTCTCTATTTTAGATGGTCGTTGCTTCCTATCTTCAGGCGCATATGACCAATGCTCCTCCTGTTGGTTAACAGGAGCTTCGTCGGGGGGCTCAGCGGTCTTGCACAAAGCAATGCTGCCACCCATTTTTTTCTAGTTTTTTATAATAAAAAACACTAGTTTTTTTAACATAAAACAATGTTTTGAAGTCGCCTCCTACTTGGGAGACCTTTTGGTAATTTTTCACATATATAGCCCCCTTTACGTGGTTATCCGAACCACCCCGACCTGGATACCGGCGTGAATAAAGGGGGCCACTTATTCATCACTTTTTTAGACACTCCACATTTCAATTTTAATACAACACAAAACGGAGCCCCACGATAGCACATGGCATCCGCGTACCTTGTTTGTGGACGGACGTTATCAGCACGTCCGTTCACTACCACGGCCACCACGGAACTCCCTCCCAAATTTCAATTTTTTGACTTGACCCGTTCAAAAAATAAAATGGGAGGGACATTAAAGAAATGCTCTAAATAATACAATTCGATTCGAGCAATAACTCAATCTTATGTTTTATTTAAATTTGTCAGAAACATATTATTTTAAAGTAGGTGGTAGTTCATTTTAAACAATAACCCTATTAGGTATATGAAATTATTTGTTTCCATGATATGGATAATACTGATTTCACTAGTAATAAGACTCCTGGATTTTCTAGTTTGAAGAATAATTCAACAGTTGAGTACATCGAAAAAAGTATGTTTATTTAAAGACAGTTTGTTTGAATGATAATTATATTCAGTGGCTCAGCACAAATATTACATGTGCCCTAGAACTTTATAGTTTCATCCTCGTATATTGTAAACAGTTCATGAAATTGTTTCGTCTTGAAAATAATAGAGTATTTTCAATTATTTTTATAGACCTGCATTTTCTGCTCAGCTCTATATTCGTAATCACAAAGGAAACAATAACAGTTCTGAATCCGTTCACATCCAATTTATTCGACTGAAAGCTGTACGTACAAAAAAGAAATATACAAACTTGTTTCAGGATCGATTATATTTTGTCATGGAGTACGTGAACGGTGGAGATTTGATGTTTCAAATACAACAGTTTGGGAAATTCAAGGAGCCGGTCGCTGTGTAAGATGATCTCATTACCAACGTCTTTATTTATTTTCCTTAATGTAATTTTTCTATCAGGTTTTATTCAGCCGAAATAGCTATCGGATTGTTCTACTTACATGCACGAGGAATACTCTATCGCGATTTGAAATTGGACAACGTACTCTTGGATCAAGACGGACATATCAAGATAGCTGATTTCGGGATGTGCAAAGAAGGGATCAATGGTGATAAGTCGACGAAGACGTTTTGCGGAACTCCGGATTATATTGCACCCGAGGTAAGATGGGAATTAGTTGATTTTACAATTTGAGTCCATACACAGACGATGAATTGCTTCTATTTTTTCAAAATTTCGTTTTTTTCAGATATGATACGAATTCTATTTTTACTGGTCGATTTATAGTTTTTCCAAGGCAGTAAACATTTTTTATATCTATATTTGGCCTACACAATGTTTCTTTCTCCTTATATTGATTCAATACCAGTGACTTGTAAAACAGATGTCTAGGATCAAATACTACTGATAATAATATATTTATTAGCTCACATACAAGACAAAATAGAAGAGAAATACATTGCAAATAAATATCGTACAATCCACGGAAGCAACATATCTTACTTGTGTGTGGTGTAATAAATAAGGAATAAATACACACATATGCATATATACACATACATATATACACATATCTCAAAAGCTTAATCTAAAATGTATACAATGTACAGAATAAAATTATTGGAGAATAAAACAAAACAAAGAGATGTGATATTGTCTTAATTATATATAAAAAGCTGTGGTGGAATAAAATAAAATTCAATGCACAATGAATACATGGAGTTTCATCAATGATTAATGAAAAGTCTCAGCGGAACCATAATCAAATTGTTGATTTTCAGAGTTACACCCAATTGTATATATCAAAAGCTCAATCTAAAATGTATACAATGTAAAGAATAAAATTATTGGAGAATAAAACAAAACAGAGTGATGTGATAATATCTATATTATATATAAATAAACTGTGGTGGAATAAAATAAAATTAAATGCAATGCACAATGCATATATTTACATCTAATTACTCTGGTCAGATATTTCGATAATTTTTGTGCGAGGTATGCTGCGTATGTATTCATTTGATGAATGTTTCAATCGACTATACGACCGAAGAGTTTCAATATTTTTTGACAAAGAATTATACACAACGGGGCCTAAAAAACGGTAAGATATTTGCCCTATTGACTTGTGTGCATATGGTGCTATGTACCTGTTTTTAATTCGAGGGGCGTAGTTATGGCTTAGTCTACACAATGTTTCTTTTTCCTTATATTGGTTCAATACCAGTGACTTGTAAAACAGCTGTCTAGGATCAAATACTCCTGGTTGTTCATATAGCATATCACTGCGATAACGGGGCGGTTTTTTCAACACCAGTTTCAAAAATTTTCTTTGAATGACTTCCAATGGGCGAAGATGTGATTTGGATACCCCATCCTATTATTTATTTATTTATTTATTTATTTATTTGATCCATACAAACTTGTTAAGTTTTATTACATGGATTCCTATTATTAACAATATATACAATGTAAATTTAACTTAAAAAAGAAATATATTTTTATTACGTACCTACTATAAGAACTGTTGGTAGATTTAATTTTCACGAAGATATATTCAGTATATTATTCAGTATTGTGTTACGGAATTTGGAATATGGTAAAGACCAATCAATATCCGTTATTTCATTGAATTCATCAGCTAATATCAACATGGTTGCGGTATGCAGTATATCAAATGGCTTTGAACCAAACTGAAGTAAATTATTTTTTGTTGTTAAATGTCAAGTACCTATATCTTCCAGTTGACGAAACTTGTATAACATATATCGCAATTTGTTTACAATGAAAGTCCCATCTCAGGTGAGGATTTATGAGAGCCCCTAAATACTTTATATGGTTAGCTGGGGATATCTTGAAGGAGTTTCGGATGAGAAAGTGTAGCTTTATAATTGGAAAATGTCAAGTAATAGGTTTCATTGAAGTTCAATGAAAGATGTTTATGGTCGAACCAATCTTTGATTTTTTTCTAGATCTTTCTCTGTCATGTCTTTTACCTCAGACCAAGATTGCTCAGAGTGAAGAATAACAGTATCGTCTGCAAAACTTATGCGACCTGCGGTTCCAATCGAAAACAGTCCGATCACATAAATATTAAAAAGCAACGGACCCAGAACAGTTCCTTGCGGCACCCTGCCGTGATTCTTTGTGATTTGACTATCTTATTCATCAAAAACTTATATCAAAATTAGAAATGTATGGTATGATAGGTTTTTCACAGATGGCTTACTTCATTTCTTGACAATAAAAGTCGATAGAATGACTGAAATTTATAGAGTTGAATTGAAAGGGTATATTTTTATGAGAGATTAATCTTGGAAAGTTCCCAATTTTTTTGTAACAACATGGAGAAATAGATATCCAAAACCTTCTTTCCCAAAAATTATAGAATTGATTCTGATATTTTGAATCTAAGTATAGGTTTACCACAGGGTTCAACAATGGGTCCTTTTTTTTATTTCCTATGTAAATAACATTGAATCAACAGTTACCGTAGGTTAATATACAGCTTGTGTAGATGACTATTCACACACTAGACCAGATAGTAAGCTGAATATCAAATAACTTCAATTCCAACGATGTATTCTTCAATGCAGATGAAACAAGAAGTTATTTCATGAACAATGTGATCCTAACAAATACTAATACAATGTAAGATTCTTGAGAATCATTCTAGATCAGTTTATCAAGTGGACAGTCTACTGTCAACAATCAATTTCAATACTCAGCTCGTTGAAGAGTCAGTTGCTCAGTAAATATTCTGCCCGAGTATAATCAAGACTTGGGAATGATGTCTATTTCTGGGGTGGATCTACCTTAGTAGGAAATGTTGTTATAGCACAAAAGGAGTATGGTGTCTTAACACTAACATCGGTTTATATTTTTGAACTGTATATATAGGTATGTTTCCAAAAAAAATCAACTTTTACAACAATTCTAAAATTACGTCAACATGATACTAGTATCAAAAACTATTTTCGTTTACCATTAGCTAGATTCAAAGTAACGTCATGTGGACCGGAATACATTGGTCCACAGATATAAAACCACCTTCTAGGTCATTTAAAGATCTTGAATAGTTTCTCTTGGTTGAAAAAATCTGGAATTATTTGAATAACCCATAGTCATTTCAGTTTTGGGTAATGAGCTTGTCTTCTTCTTGGTCTAAAAACCTGAAAGTTCAAAAAGCGTGTTTTCAGATTCTGTCATTCAAGTTATTATTTGGTAATACATCGAATTCGCTCAATTTAAGGCATATCGAATTATATTTTCAATTAGAAATTCCGTTGATGAAAATGTATTTTCTAGGTTATGTTGTGTATGACGTAAGTGAAAACACCTCTCATTGTATTGCAGATAATACTATATCAGCCCTACGGTAAATCAGTAGATTGGTGGGCATATGGAGTTTTGTTGTATGAAATGCTGATTGGTCAACCTCCATTCGACGGGGAAGATGAGGAGGAGTTATTTGCAGCAATAACAGATCACAACGTCAGTTATCCGAAGGGATTATCAAAAGAAGCTAAGGAAGTTTGTAAAGGAGTAAGTAATTTGGCCACCTTGAAAACTGGTCTCGAAATTTTGCAACTAGATTTGTTGTTTTTTTAAACCAAGTGGACATGTATTTTCAACTTCTACCATAAAATATAAAAATCCGTCCTGGTGTCTTATTTGTATTAATACAAATATATTTATATCAACATCGAACTAACTTTTCTGATGGAAGTAAAAACTTGAAGGTTTATATTCGCAGCTTCTAACCAAGAACCCCGCCAAGCGACTAGGATGCGGGCCACGTGGAGAAGAAGATGTGCGGGGTCATGCATTTTTCAGAAGAATCGATTGGGATAGAATTGAAAACCGGGAAGTGCAACCACCATTCAAACCAAAAATTGTAAGTATTTTCTTAACAGCTACTAACTGCTCGTGATGCACTGTTTGAAACCTTTGGTGTGGTAATGAATATTACTGGAGTTCCATCCCAACACCAAACCGTTATTTTTAACACCTCGACACGTGTTTTAATCACCAAGTGATTTTTTTAAGAGAAGATTAATTTTAAGGCAATCAAGACGCGGATACCTAGCAGAGATATCTATGGTATAAATAAGGACAAAATTGTATGTAGATTTAGTTTATTCTCCCTCTTGAAGATGACCACTTGGTGATCGAAACATATGTCGAGGTGTTAAATTAATGATTTGGTGTTTGGATAGAACTCCAGTTATATTAACTCAAAAAACTTCGTTTAAAATTCAAAATTGTAGTATTTATGTAAAATATGAGCACTGATTTTTTACATTTTATTCAATGGGGAATGTTCCTCAATTTGGGTTATTACAACAAATGCAAGTTTGAACAAAATAAAGTTGAGTTTAATGGGAAATGTTCCTCAATTTGGGTTATTACAGCAAATGCAAGGTTGAACAAAATAAAGTTGAGTTTAATTCATCAGTTTTTCAAATTCACTTTGAAAAGTATTCAAATTGATGTTTCAAATGTTGAGTTTTAATTTTTAAAGGGATTTGTTTCTAATTCACATATTGGCAACAGCGCCTATATCAAGTTGAAATAATTTACACGTACCTAGATATTCTACTTTAAAAAACAAAAATTATCTTTATAAATCAACAATTAAGGCAAAATATAAATTATAATTAAATACCACCTCCACAAGCCACATAAACAACAGTTGTTTTGTCATTCATTTATATAGAGGAAGATAGGTTAGGTGCACAAAATGTCATATATCACAGAATGTCTCGGAACTCGGAACATAAGTAAACAAAAAAGCATGCCTCTGAAATATGTCATCTTTGTTTGTCTCATACAGGTAACAGATTCATTGTCCTTTATTAGCTATAACCGATGTTGCGACGTGGTGAAATAGAAACGAATCCCTTTAAATGTTGAATGCATTATTTCATTCCTCTTTTTTGAGTATTTATATAATTTTTAAAGAAAAAGTTGAAATGATAAGTTTGAAATGTGTTGTTTTAGAGATCTTTTATGAAAACTACTAGATTTTCGTCAGAAGGAACATTCCCATTAAAGAGGTCTAATGCAATGAATGGCTCTGAAACTTTGTAAACTATCGTTTTTTATGCATTGAGGAAAATAATCAGTAATATTCTGTTGAAAATTCATTATTCAGTTAGCAACTGTAATCCTCATATTTCCGTAAGTAACGAACTTCAAAATTTTCAGGTCAACACTAGACTTATGGATTGAAACAATCAACATTTATAGACATGAAACATAGTTTCTTGTAGCATTTATCGAATTACTATATAACATTAATAATTGAGTCCCCCTACAAATGTATAACCCCTTTCAAATTCCACACCTCATCCAGATTTATCAGACAAACAGACAGGCAGACAAAAAAGCGAATTGATTAAAAGTGGCAATAAAATATAATGTCTTTGAGACTTATTCAACGAATACCCCACGTTGGGCGCCAAAATAACCCAGATTCATAATTTAAAATTTCAAGGACTACTTTTTCATGGATTTGCATATACATGTATTGCATAAAAATCCTTAAAACTTTCTGAGAACGATGCCCGTAAGAAAATAACGATTTACATTGGTCTTAGATCGCTTAGGATTATATTCATACGAAAGTTCATTCCACAAAGACACCGTTCTTCAATGAAAATATTTCTTGAAAAGTTCAGGTTCAATTCAATCGTTTCATTATTTACACGTCTGAGGAAGCATATTGTGTAGTGAAACGTGTGTTGCAATTTTACAAAGTAGCCATGATAATAATCATACGATTTTTAGAATAATAGTTATTTATGTATCAAGGGCGTAAAAAAAGGTTTTTATGGACCGCAGCGTGTAAGTAACACGCCTAGGTCCATAAAAGCAAATTACGCCCGAAAGACATACATTTTATGCACGACCGGTATATTTGTAGGTAGATACCTCCTTATATCTAGAACAAGATAGAAATACATCCAGGCTGCCGTGAGGCTGTATATTCGTATCATATCAGAAGCATACCATGACAACTCAGTCAATTTTTCGAAATGAGATTTTATAGGCTAGTAGCCATATTTACTGTCAATTTTTGTAATCACAGATAATTTATTAGAGATTTTGAAATGGATTCAAGCGATGAAGAAAGTGTGAATTGTACTTCACAAGAAATAAGTAAAGCAGCTGAGGATACGAAATTGAATTTATTGCCAAGTAAATCCAAGAAAATATACAACAAAATGTATGAAGAATTCGCAAGGTGGCGCAACGGGAATAATGTAAAAAATTAGAACCACACAGAGAGTGAACTTCTTGCCTATATTTTGGAAAAAAATGAATATCCCAAGCCCTCTTCCATGTGGTCATATCACATGTTGAAAGCTACTTTAAATGTACACGATAATAGAGATACCAGTAGATCACAATAAGAGATATGATGAATACAAGAGATACGGCTTTGCTGAAATATTGAAAGACAAAGTCAGAGGCTAGTTTTAGATTTTACAAAGATATGCGAAATAATGTAAATAAAGCAATAGAAAGGGAAAAAATGTCATTTTTTACTTTTCAGTTTCAATAAAATATCTCGAAAAAAATGTGGAGTTTCCTGAAACAAAATAAAGTAATTTCAGATAAGGAGAGAAGTACCTATTCCAGATTATCTGAAAAGTGTTGATGAGGTTAATGATTTTTTTGTTAATTCTATACCAATAATGGAACCTCCACCAAACTTACTTGAATATTACATATTATTAAAACAAATGCAACTGGCTGTGATAATTTGAATATAATGCTTATAAAACTATGTTGTCCGCATATTGTTGAGTAGGTACATTACTCACATATAATAAACTTTTGTCTAATTGAAAATGTTTTTTCTAAGATGTGGGGCAGTGCTGTTGTGAAAGTGTTACCAAAAAAAATATTCCTACTGAGTTTAAAGACCTACGACCAATTAGTGTACTTCCGGCTGTATCTAAAATACTAGAGAAAGCCATAGAAATACAACTTCTGCCCGGTCGTGCATAAATTTTATTTATGTAGACTTATGTATTCAAACTCTTACTTTTTGTTCTGATATGTCGAAGACCTGACTAAATTTGTGGAAAAATACAATTTGACAATGTTTTCTCATGACACCACTATTACAGATGCTAGACCTACTGTACAGAATTTTTTAACTGGAGTCATCTTATTTATCAATCATATACGACTGAATCTCATTATTTAAGTCAGTTTCAATGACACTTGTGATGCACTGTTTGGAACCTTTGGTGTGATAATTAATAGATTGAATGGAGAAGGAATACTTTCAATTGATATCAATATGTCGAAACTCGTAACTCATGAAAAATATTCTCATGCCTTCATTTATCAATATGTAAAATACTTCTATCCGAAACAGTTGTATATGTGCTTGAATCTTTCAATAACTAACACTCATGGTGTATTCATTTCAGAAACATCGCAAAGATGTCAGCAACTTCGACAAACAGTTCACATCCGAGAAAACCGACTTGACACCGACGGATAAATTATTCATGATGAACCTGGATCAAACAGAATTCATGGGTTTTTCATTCCTCAACCCTGAATTCGTCCAACACGTCTAATCTTAGGTGAATAATTTAAATTTCCAGAAGCAAATTAATATGTGATTCGGTCATTTGTTTTGAAAGAACCAAAACGATGTTGAATAAGCTGAAGGAAACAAATTATGACATATCCAAAAAACAATAATTACGAAAATCTCGAGTCATCTTCGGGATTCTGAAATAGATGTACCAATTTTCTTTGTAAAGGTTTTCGTTGTCGCTGAGGTTTTGTGAATGGTATGTGTAACAATAAAAACGTATTGCATACCGACAAATTTTTAAATGTCCGATGTTATTGGAACCATTAATACATTTGAAGAGTACCCACAAATAGGAATGAGAATTGTTAAATATTTGAAAGAGTAACACATATTCACTTCTATTTATTGCCACTCCTGTATATTATCTCACTCATATATATTATATATGATCTTAGTCCACTTTTCATTCCTAACTGTTTATAATACTTGAAGTTTTTATGGTACTCAAGTTCTTAGAGAAGCCGAAACATTCCAACAACTTAACTGTGTTCTTTTCTATAACTTACATTCTAATTTAAGTAAGTAGATATAGCAATAACATTCCTTAAGTAGTGTTAGTTTAATTTATAGGCTCACTGGCTGAATTGCATATTGAATTTGCATGTGATGATCGATATATTAGCGATATTATACAATGCCTCTCTCTATTTTCTAAATTTAACGCACTTATTGTGTCGATAATGTATATGTAGTTATTCACGTTATAATATATATTTCTTACAGTTCTTCCAAAGTCACTGAAACGGTGATATTACTTATAGGGTTGATTGTAGAACCGAAAAAGTTCTTTCATTGAAACTCGGAAACATATTCGACGCTTTTGTATAAATAGTGGCACTCGGTGTTGACAAAAGGTTTTTACTGAGCTGTTAATTCACTGGAATCGTTTCTTATTCGATTTTTCTGTAGTAAATCCCACATTTATTTGAAGTTTTTGAGATCATCTTGAAACTTAAACCCACCCTTTGACGTTGCAACAATTGGAATGTAATTGTGCGATTTGTCTACCATTTCAACAAATGTAGCTTCTCATAGTCTCATTTTTTATAATACTAAACTCTACTACAATAAAAATAAGTTTTTTCCAAACAGCATTAATCATCAGCAGTTAACAAGCAACTGAATTCCAGTGGCCGGGTTTTGTAATAGGCCATTCGAAACAAACTTTATGGATATGCGCATTATTGACTCTTATTCTTATTTCTAAAAGTTGAATGTCTGGGAAATTTCAATTTAAGGACAGAATCAAAATAAAGGCTAAAAACATTGAAAATTTTCTTGACACTAGAGTCATGATTGACACTAGGAGATAGACAGGGATTGGTCCTATATTTTATCTAATTCAATAAAAAGCTTCATATAACCTTTCGAAATTACATGACAAGTTAGAATAGCCTTTCGGGAACAAGAACTTTGTTGGCGCAGTCGGTAGGATTGAAATATTCCTGAAATTATTAGACACTTCCAGAATAAAACTTCTTAACTCCTGAAATCGAATATCAAAACTGAGACAGAAAAATGTCCCGTTATTCTTGAAAATGTTCATACTTCAAATCCATTATTTTATGACTTGTGGGTGTTCATTTGAGCTTATCAAAGTCTTTTTCGATTTCGATTTTGCTTTTCGTGTCCCCATATTGAAACTCATTTTTCAAGATCAAAATAGTCGAGAATTATTTTGTCAATGATTCAAAATTATGTTTAATTTTTCTTCAAGAGCATTTTAATGAGTAAACTAATAAATATTACACACACTATTGCTTTCAACTATGTTATTCTACCTTATATATTGTGAATAGGTTAATCTGTCCCTGATTTTTTTTTGTACCTAATATTCTTGGAATATTATGTATACTATTTGTTTTGATAAATGGAAAATCGTTAAAGATATTTAAAATTCAGTTATGTGTATAATTTTCTGTTATAATTCATCGATGAAACGATAAATTCGTCCATTACGAAAATATTCTCAATTAAAAATCGCTTGCTATATTGAAATTTCAATACTTTTAAATACATTTTAAAGAGGCGAAAACACGAAATAGGGTACAATGAACTATTGATGCATATACATTTATAGTTCTGAAAAATTTATGGATGCCCATTTGTCCATTTATGAACAGTATTTTTTTATAAATTCAACTTCAAATATCTCTTGAATGTGGTCAAGTACAGCATCGATATCTATGCACATGTATATTTCTCCACTCCACTCCAACAGAAATACAATAATTTGAAATTCATGTAAACATAATCAAAATAATTATTAACTATTCAATGGGAATCTTTGTCAATACCGTTTCAAAATTCAGTCTGCTTATTTTGAAAGACTCGCGTGGGTGAGTACATGCTAGTTTTTGATTATTGATAGATTAGACATAGGATTTAGATTCCATAGAGGAAGGAAATTTTCATCCTTCGTTGAGTAATCACTTTCTCTAACCAAGTGCCAACAAACTTTCACACATTTCTGTAGCGATTGTGTGAATCTAGTCATTAAAAATTTGTAAGGAGTCTCAACCGGAATCTGAGCAATGTTTGGAAGTATTATGATTTGTGATCTTTGTGTATTGATTTTGTATAAAGGCTTATGAACCGTGAAACACTCGTTTAGAGAAATAAGTATACTTTGTAGTGCAACAGATACTAAAAGGGAGTTTGCTGCTTGGAAGTGAGATGATTCTCAAACTCTGTTATGTAGTGCGGACCTGAATAGTCTTCCTTCCGTCTTTGGTTTTGAACGGAACAAGATATCAGGGTCGCACAAAATTTACGTGAAAAGGTATCATTCTCATTACTAAATACAATAGTTTTGCATCACTCGTCGCCGATAGGACGCTACCATTTTTTTCTCAAATAGGTTTTTCAATTCTATAGGTATTTCAATTTAATTTGATAGCTATTTCAATTCTCTATCCAACTGTTTTTCATTTTTTGAAATCAATTTAGTCGTTTCAGAGTAATTAGCAGTTTTATATTCGTTTTAAGAATCTGCAAACAAACTATAAATATCTTTATTTCAAGTATTCAGAATGTTCACCATTCACTCCTCGACAATTATGAAGTCTGTTTACAATTTTTTTACTACCTTGTGAAATGTTCCTGGAGTAACATATGGTTGCAAGCTCCTCTTTTTCTATTCACTAGTTATGAAATGAATTGAAGTTTTGTATCGAACATCTAGATGCTTCATATCAGGTGATCTTGTGGGCTCTTCTGAGCTATCACGTTTGCCTGTTTACGTTACACAACCACAGTGTACTCCAGAGCTAATGGTTGGAATAAGACGCACTCCTAACGAAATTGCCCCAGAAACATTACATAATGAACACGTAAACTTCATTTTTGCCAGGAGTAAATAGTGATCAATTTAAAGATTGATCATGGTGTGTAGGCTTTCCTGGCCGGTGTCTAACAAATTGTCCGATGTTTCCGAGTTCATTACCCATGGTCTCCAGGTTTTCACACCTGACGTTTCGTCTGCTGTTGCGGAAGACATCAAAGGCAATGCGGCAACGGTCACTGCATCACAGCAAAGAAGATTGAAAGAAAAGTTGCTAGCGCCCTGTCGGCGACAGGTAATGCTAACACTATTGTTTTTCTTATCAAAAAGTACTAAAAATGAAAGTTTTTAATGCAGATTTTGTTTAACTTCGTTCCGTCCGTTCCTTTCAAAAGTTGAGAGGGTTGGGGACTATTTACGGTCTCATTGTATGAAATCATAACAATATCTTTACAGGCAAACCATTGTTAAGGTCAATGTTTAACTTTTCGAAAAGATACTACTATACTACTTGTGTAGGTTAACTTTCGAAGATTGGGCTTTGCAACAGATCTCTGTCTGAAACCATGATTGGCATGGATGTACTGGGTCCGCGTTTCACTCAGATACGTGTCTGTTACTGGGTATTATTTGTTGAAAATAACCAGGTCCAGATCTGTGGCAGAATCCCAGAAAGATTCCTCGAGTTTTATGTTGTAATGATTTCACTACCAAATATTCCCTTTCCTCATAATTTCATTGAATTGTATATACTTCCAAACTTATTGCAACTCAGATCCGGTAAATCATTGTATCATTTAAAGCTTGTACAATCAAGGCATCTCTGCTTATGAAAGCTGAGATTCAGTAGCATTGAGATTCAACATTCTTGCGTGTACATTTCAATTATGTTTAGTGAAAGTTATATTCAATATTTACAATAATAAATGTAGTTTCTCATCAATTTTTCATATTTCAAAGTGCATGTTGTGAACAATATCTTTCATACAATTATCTTTCGCAAAATACTACTTGACTAGAGTTGGTAATATTTTCAATTATGATCTGAATTTTGAAGCTTATTTCAAGCTTCTCAGAAGATGTTTTCAATCGTTTTGTCTGTTATCGTTGAATTCTAATGTTTTCCTACACATTCTATTATTAATCTTCGATACCTTATGACAATGTAAATTGTCATTGATTAGTTTCCCTAGGAAAATGAACACGTGAAAACATGTCTTTTATGAACTGGTATGAAAGATTAATAATCAATCTGTAATTGTTATGAATAGTTATTACATAGAAAGTATTTTGAAATTATTCAGAACATTTTCATCATGTCACTTCAAAATGTATTTCCCAATTTTTTTGGGATAATATTCACTTGTTTTTACACCTTTTGAAATTATTTCAGTATTTCATATATTGAAATATGGTAATGATGAAAAGTGCTTTATTGATATCAGTATCATTCTAGTCTTTTATAAATTATAAGTACTTTCTAGTCTCAAATGATTTTCTGGTCTAAGCAATCTCTTTTATATAATAATTGATTGTTAGTATCTGATGTATTATTATCATTACTATTACTTATTATTGTTCTAATCATATGATGTAATATAATTGAATGAATAGAAGGAAATTTTATTTGGTCCATTATTCCATTTTTTCGGTAAGGAAGGTTTTGAAATTCCTATTGAAATTTATTGCAATTATCAACTGTGGTAAACAAAACGACCTTCAATGGTTTTCAATAAGATGAATTCACATTGTTGTTTAAAGGGTATAAACCAACAAGGAAATGACAATTAGTCCAGGAATATTAGTCAAATGAGGGCAAGTATCTTGGAATGAGAGATAGTCAGCCATAAAGTTGTATAAAGCTTTATTTTGGCACCCAAAAAAAAAACATTTTTACACATTTACTGTAAATGTCTCGTTTCCTATGGGTCTTATGCTATTTGTATTTACTACAAATAGACTAGAGGGCAGAGCATGTGCAGTGTTCAACTATTTAGAGTATCATTCGAGGTCAACCTGTAGTCCCGATTAAAAACACGCCGTATAAAGTCTATAAATTATTGATGAATATGTTAGTCGAAATAATTTGTATTTTTTACTGTTTACCCTCTGTATCTGTATCTGAAGAGTAGGGAGGATCAGTGTAAGCCTACAGCACTTAGGTCACATGTGACCCATTGTACATCCTTCCGAGGAGTTGTCCTCCTAGGTCATCGTCCATCCTATCCTTTCCAGGAAGGTGGACAGGTCATTTGGAGACAACTCCTTTATATCGGCAGGTGTAGGCCAAGACTCGCCGAACACATACTCTCTTATTGACGATAACTCCTGGTACTCGCATAGGACATGCCTGACAGTCTCATCTTCCTGTTCACACATCCTGCATAGAGGTGTGTCCACTAGCCCTATATTACAGTGGTGTTTCCTTAGTTGACAGTGGCCAGTCAGAAATCCTACTGTTAGGCGTAGATTTTTCCTGGTCATCGCCAGATATTTCTTCGGCGCCAGCATCCCAGGGTCGCCCAAGGTGATCCTGGCAAGATTGCATCCTTTGATTCCATCCCATCTCTTTGAGGATTGAACTATCAATTTGTACTTCTCAATTGTATTTGTATCTTAAATAAATAACATATTATTATTATTCGTGTTGTGAATGTCCGCCGTTATATAACGTGCCAGCATCAATATCAAATTAAAAATAATGTTGATAACAATTGTTTAAGTGTTTTAAAATAAATAGTACTCTCATTCACGCCGGTTGGAGGCCAGGGTGGACCGGATGTACACATGGGAGTGCTGAAGTGGAGTAAATATATAATACCTACTCCTATTCACAACTGTTGGAGGTCGGGTGGACCGGATGTCCACGTGGGAGTAGGATCGCAACAATTAATCTTTTATGAAGGAGACTGTAGTTTTTTATGTACTGTATATGTCCGCCGTTGGAAGACATGCCTACCAAAAACGAATAATTTGGGAAGAATAACAAAGGGGCGTAAAGCAAGACCTTTATACCCCTTCGAATAGACATGGCTTACTGCGCCTGAACGGAAGAGAGAGAGAGAACTAGAGGCATAAATTTACTGCAAAAGAAAGGTGGGCCATGGACTGTTGAGTTTAGAGTGTCCACATAACAGAATGGTACTCAATATCTATTGAGAGAACACCTGAACAAATAAGGATTATATAACGGAGACCACGACTGCAGGCAATGCAACAAAAGGACAGAGGCGACTCTGCAAATTTTATGCAAATGAGGCACTAGATAATAGGAGGCAAAAAATTTATGAACAACTCAAATTTTGTCCAGGCAAACATTCAGAAAGGAATTTGTACAAATAGGTACAGTGACCAAGGTTGCTGGAATGGTGTCGTGAAAAAAAATGTGGGGAATCGCGAGACTATGAGGTTGCAGTGTTTTCCTAAGACTTGAAAGAAACCGAGAATTCAGACGACCCCCCAAGTAGTTAGAAAACAACCTTAATCTTCGCGCGAAACTGTAGTCGTTCAACTAGTAGTGAAAGCTCCATCTCATAAACAAAGCCCTGGATAGAAAAGAAACATCCCATATATCAAAACTCAACAGATCTGATTTTTGTTATCCATTAGATGAAACGGTTATTTCAAAGGGACTCTGCCATTTTGTATTTGATAGAAACATCTGTGAATACTTGATAAATGTTTCGAGAGTTAGGCCGGTTCTACATTGGACGCAGAGTCGATCTGGCCACTAGACCGATTATGCCAGACCAATTCAGACTCGCCGCTCCCACATTGCAGCTAGTTTTCAGCCAGTACTGTGTCAACTCTCATGTTATTGGTCAGGAATTTATCATGAAACTCGCTTAAAAAAAAATTGCTTCATGAGTTCAATGAAGACCACCATCAAAGTGAATTTCACACAACCTGCCTACCTATACGTAGTCACCCTGATAAATTCAAAAATTATCATGGAATGACCGTCGAAACGTTTGATTACATTCTGTCTCACATAGAAGTAGACCTATTTCAATAAATATTCCTTTGTCTACCATTATGGCACAATTAAACACAAAAACCAAGTTCAATATGAAGATGATGTTGAAACGCAACCTGACCAAAGCTCCCAAGCAACTTGGAGAAAGAACAAACTTATTTGAATGTTGTCAGAACAGTTCAGATCCGACTTTTCTTCTCAAAACAAGCACTGGCTCCATTGTAGGTGGGAAGACAGTGCATAATGTTTTCGTTTTCTTCAGAACCGACCAGACCGTGACTTTTGTCACTGTTCATAATTGTCATGACACTCTTTGCTATTTGCAAACTTTTCAGAGCTTCCAAAAATTTAGTGACAGTTTTTCTTATTTATTCTATGGTCATCCTCGAAGTGTTGAGCTACACTAGATTTTTCTGGCTCTTGAAATTGGAAAAAAAATTACAAAGAATATATATGTCAGACTAAGCGAGCCATTAACACTCGTTTCAAAGAAGACGCAGCACATATCCGATTTTGAATATAAATAGAGACCAGTTTCAAAATTAGGAACGCCAACTGAATTGGTGAAACGCGCATCGGAAAGAGTATTACAGTTCAGGTGTTTAGGAAAGGTGCTTATTTTTGAACCAATAAATCAATAAAGAAATCTTTTCATATAAATTTATTCACTTGATAAAATCTTCACAAAATAAATAAGGGATAACAATTTTTGAGTTTCTCTTTTTACCGTTAACCTGTAAGGCACTCTGAGAAATCAACTAAACAGTACTATGTACATAGTTATAAAAAGTTCACTAATCTTATACAACACAACTCCAAGGCCAGAGCTCCTATCAGAAAAATTGAGATACAAATACTTTAATCACAAGGAAATACTTTTGAACGCAGGTTTCTAATACTGCAAACCTAATTAACATTCGGTTTGTATTCTTGGAGCTGAGAGGTTTTGAAAACTTAAGTTAGCAATACTTTCAACTAAAGCTAGAAATAATACATCACAACCATTATTATCCTCGAAATCAGGCTCGTGTGGTGATCATTTGGGGCTCATCGTTTTCCTTTTTTTCTGCTGGATCTTCAGCTGGTTGGTCCCAAGATTGTCTCTCGCCTGATCCGAATATTACGTAAAATGAACAGCAGCCTGCATAAACGCAGGAAGCAGTTATGAAAACGATCCTCCATTTAGCGATGCTTGGCTGAAAAATTTATAAAAATTCATTAAAAAAAAACAGTGTTGTCATTTATATTTGTGTGGGTATAGTCGTAATGCTTCTTGAAAAATCCATTAAATTTTTCATTTCCACCTTCGTTTATATGCATTTTGGAGTTTCAAATGTAGAAAATTTTACAATATTTAAATTTTATCAGTAAATACCGTCATAGAACAAATAGTATTTTAGATTTACATATGGTCTAATAGGTGTAATTCCTTTAGATTTTTTGACCTCAAATGCAATCTCCCATCAAAACAACTTTTTCTGTAACTCTAGATCAACGGTCAGGAACAGGCGAAAGATTGAACGTCGGACCGCCAAATATTGTAATGTGTTATATACCAAGTATAAATTGATACGTAGGTAAGGTGTACTATATGTTTATTAATTGAAATGATATTTTAAAACTGAAGAGTTAAAAGAAAATATAAAATTATAATGTAAATTGATATGTGACAAAGCGTGTCTGCTTTTCGTCGCAAGCTTAATATCTTTGAAAAATATATTGCAAGACAAGAATTTACTCACTGAATAGAACTGGCCGATACTTGATGAAAATCCATATTAAAACTAATCAATACAGTTTATTGTAGGATTTTCACTATAAAAAGTTTTACAAAAACCGCCACACGTGTTTCGCTATACAATAGCTTTCTCAAGCGTTAATAAACGCTTAACGCTTTATAGTGAAAACCATAAAGTGAACTGTATTGAAGAGTTTTAAGAATTTACTCATTTTCTGACGATTCTTGAATATAAAAAACTCTGGAGAAAACATTGCAGTGTTTGTAAAATTTCTGGCCGATTTTAGAAACGAATTTGCTACAAGATTCCAAGACATTGCAGAGATGGTTCAGAGATGAATTGTATATGAATGAAACAGAAACAGAAATTTGTGTATTTTCAAACTATAGCACTGATGCCATTTCTATATCAGAAAGTATAAAGTTTTTGGGAGTTCATCTTGACTCGTCTCTTGCCTGGACCACCCACTTCAGTAATCTTTGCAACAAACTAGCAAAATCTGTTTATGCCATTAGGCGAATAGCTACTACGGCTGGTCAGAAAGCAGCTCTAATGACATACTACGCCTTGTTCCACTCAGCAATGAGTCATGGGTTGCTGTGCTGGGGTAATACAAGCTACAAGCTGAATATAATGACCACTGTAAGCCTTTGTTTGAGAATACAGGAATCATGACTCTATTCTCACAAATTATCTTTGACAATGTTCTGCATGTCAAAGAAAATTATCACACACTCACAACACAGTTGGATATTCATTCCTACAAAATACGCAATGGAAATAATATTGTGCCCCTCTTAAGAAGATTGGATAAAAGCAAATCAATTGGCATCACTTGCTTCAATTTACTTCCTGAAAAAATTAAACATCTGCCACTCAGACTTTTCAGAAATACAGTGAAAAAACTTCTCACTAAAATGAGTGAGTTTAATGTTACTCTTAAGGATTCACTTGGAGATACCTAGTGCATCTTTTCCACTTTTTATTCCTGTTTCTTTATACGTTAAGAATTTTTAAAATGCATTTTATACTCTGCAATTAATTTTATTGTTACATTTACAGCTTTTTTATGTAACTGTGCAATATAATAGGTGATTTGTCCAAAATATTTGTATATTGCAAGAAACACTCTGGTTGACTCGACATACGTATGTGAAACATCTTTCTCAAAGATGAATTTTTTGAAAAACAAAAATCGTTCGAGATTAACGGACGCCCACGAAGACACACTTCTAATTTGCCGTTCCTCTCGAGAACCAAACTATTAAAAACTGACTCAAGACTGTAGGAGTAGTTTCTCACATTAATTTTAGGCCTTGTTTTATAATTCAGAATTTGATTTGAAACTAAAATAATACCTAGGTAGCACCTGATTTTTATCAGTTGTTTTTTTCTGCACCTCATTAAAATTTTTCCAAAGTATCCTGAGCCCACCTAAAACTACCTGCCGACCCCTGCTCTAGATGAAGTGTCTCTGAAGTGCTCTAGATGAATTTAAACTATTTTATCACTTTACAAAGAATATTTACAATTTTCTTTAATTTGTCAAGATATTACTAATACAGTTGTGACTGTTTAAACAAAATCTCACAATAAAGTGTTTCTTGAATGAGCATAATCTCAGCAATGAATACTTACAAAAAATGTATAACGGCAGCAATTTCACGTTATTCAATTCAATATAGCCTTCCATTTTGCTGAATGCAATACTAAATAAACAAAGAATATTTTTCAAAGATTTTAAAAAGTTTGTTACCAAATAGAAAACATTTTTGTAAAGATTACTTATGCAATATGGATTGTTTGAATACTACTGCAAATATACCCTGTAAAGCAAATTTCTTTGATCATTAGTGAAATTACATGCCGAACTTTGGTCCATCAAAATACCAAAATTAGAATTAATGTATCAGATCGAAAATTTAATTTGGCGTTACTTACTGTTCCCACGACAACATGTCCGGCGTAAATGGGGGCGAGTAACCCAGCCAGATTTGCCATACAATTCGTGAATGACATAAGGATACCAGCATACTGCGGAGATATGTCCAAATGGTTTACTTTGAATCCAGAATAGATACCACCGTTCAAACCAACGCCAACAGTGAGGACTGCTACAGTCAACCATTTGTCACATCCGGTGTAAGCTACTGCTAACAGAGCTACAGCTGGACCATACTGACCTGAGAGAACAAATCGTGTTAATAAACCATACCTGTTGCGATTTTGAATTTGGATATCAAGTCCTACATGCAATACTCACCAATTCCATTTATGATCTTTCTCACAAGAGTGTGTGTGAAGAAGGGCTTTGTTAACATGAAGTCAGCAACATGACTGATGAAGATGGAAAACAACCACATCGCCAAATATGGAAGAGAAGATAAAATTCCATTCTAAAAAAAAAAAAAAAAAATTGGATGAGTTCCACGAAAAGTATGTACAACATAAGTAGACTCGATCAAATCAATTATATAATTGAAACTGATGCAAGGAAATCTATCCAAATTTCTCTTGGATATATTTCAATACCAGACTTGCTATTATTGAAGGATTTAGTTGAATCCCTCAATGTAGGAAAACTACAAGATGAATTCTGACTGTATTCATCTTTTAATACATTTTTGTAGACTGCACAGATTTCTGTAATTTGAAAAAATCCAGTTACTGAAAACTTTTGCTAGCTTATAGGTGAAAAACTAAATCAGAAATTACAGTAAAAACGACTCTATCTTCAGGGAACTATGTAAAATGACAACTATGATCGACAAATTACCAATCTTAAATCTTGTTTATTTTAGTAATCAAGAATAAATTAGTGACCATTTGCCACACCGCGAGGTGTGTGCCCTAAGCAGATGCAATGAGCCAAGAATGACAATCTTCTATTTGTCTGGCCAGAATTTTTGTTTCACAGCAGCAAGTCAGCATGCCATGATATTCGAGACTAGTGAGGTCATCATTCCATCAAGTACAGTCACAACAAACAGTTTAGCAGAGTGGTATAGATAGTGTCTGCGAAGATCAAATAGAAGATCTAGTTATTTAATTTGTTTTTTATTCCCTTTTTGAACCATATATATCCTTACCCGGAGCTGAAAATTCAATAATGAACATCGTCTCACTCTGATGGTCAAGAAGGACTACATCCAACTTCATAGCTCGTATCAGTCAATGAGGAATGAATAGTTCAGCTAAATTCGGCACAACAGACTCAATATCTGCTCATCCGTGCAGAATATGATGAACCTGGTGCAGATGAACTCCCTGTTTCTGACTTCAGTCCACACAACCTGAGGAAATCAAAAGACAGATGCTTTGATAAGCCAAGGTCTTCAAAGTCATTAAAGGAGACTCTATGCATCGACTTATCCTTATCTTGCCGCAGGAGTGAAGTGATCTCTGTGGTTTTTATGTAGGCCTTTTGCGGAACGGGCTACAACTTGTTGAGCCAAAGCAGCAGGTATAATCTTGACATTCTAGAGTAGTGAAGGCTTCATTCCACCAAGTACTCTAACAAGCAGAACAATTTGATTATTATTAAAAGTACTTTTTACGTTTCTTATTGACCCATACCAAAAATGTTGGTACCTCTGTACAGGGTCTATATATGGAGTATATGGAGTTGGTGATTAGTGTGTATCATCAACACACTAATCAACTTTTTTGTTTTATGTGATTCCTGAGTGCCCTGGAAACAAGTATAGAGTAAATCTGTTCCTATCCACCAGTTTCACCAGTTCTTCAAGGTAACCTGGCTGTCTTTAACAGTATGTATCTGCTCGTTTCGTTGACGACTCAAATTAATATTTCTTGTAAATTACAAGACTGCATGCAGATGGAAGACGTATGTGTACCTGACAAAAATGATGCACCTCTATTTATTAAATAATATGAAAAAAAAGATCACTGACTGACGAGTAACAGAAAACTTGAAGAACACTAAAAAGCAAGTGTGTTGATTTCTCTGGTTATTCATTATGAAACTAAATATTTCCAGAATTCTGTATTCTAATAAGTATATCATCGACTTTTGAGATGTTTGGAGACTAAAAACGATTTTTAAACGTTTTTTATTCGAATTATTTGCATATTTATTTCAGCTATACATTAAAATCAGAATCAATATCAGAATTTTTCCAGTTGTTATTGGGGTAAAAATTGTCTATTGAATCTGTGCAACCAACTTGAAGTGAAATATATTACAAATGTTTTTCAGGATCACAGTGTTCGTTGATTTCTGGATGTACGTATAGTAGGTATGTAGATTTGGTTTTGAATAAGATACATATTTTCCAATGTTGTCAGTGGAAAATATTACATACAAAACCTTGTCAAAATCTATTTCAAAAACGAAACATATCATTTTTTAAACTTACGTCTTTAATACTGAAATGATGAATTTGCTTCATGTAGGTAGGAAGTTCCGTCATGAGAGTTTCATAACCGTAATTGTGACCCATATGGGCGAGGAGGATGGCATAGAAAGGCATGGATTTTGCGATAGACATCCAAGGAACTGCCGGAATCTATATAAAAATAAATATATCATATCATATATGGCATATTCCATTAAAAAGATTAAGAAAATAACAGATTATGAAATATCCATTAACAATTTTAGAAAAAACATATGTAAAGAAACAAAATTTCTATGCATTTTTATTGTCTTTTATTGTTAAAAATGTTACAGACCTGATTGGTACACATTTATAGAAACACAACGTGAAACCAATTAGGTATTAAGGCCAGTACAACTATTAGAGAAAGTCTAAGGTCAGCTAAGACCCCTAGTAAGTCTTTAGCAATACTTGTGTCATATCGGATTCCACGAACACTGGATAACACTCAAAATAACTGTCCAAGAATATATAGAGAGGCAATAGAAATTCAGATAAACAGGGACGATTTCAACAGAAAGGAAGAGGCAATGTTTGATCTCCCCCTTGAAGGTGATCACTTGGTGATCGAAACACGTGTCGAGGTGTTAAAATAACGGTTTTGTGTTGGGAAAAGATTCCAGTATTATTTACCTTATCATAGTAAAAGTTGCAAAAAGAAGAAAATAAATTACTATCTATCTAACACATACTTTTTTCTCAAAAAATAAATTCAGAGACATGCATATATCATTGTGTAATCTAGCAATAAATACCTACCGGCAAACCAATTTTACTTCCCAATTGTTTCTGAATGTATAGACGTTCTTCTGTGTTGATTTTTGTATCACTTTGCGGATCTTCGTGGATGAAAATGAGGAAGAATATACACCATATTGTGCCTACTGTGCCAAAAACGTAAAATATAGACGGCCAACCAAACCTACATTCTGAGAGGAGACCACTCAAAGGCATTGATATCACAGTTCCGAATTGTGCTCCTAGAAAAAGAAAATAAACATATTCTTTGCTAGGATACTCTGAATTCCAATCTGAATTAGTTGAGACTTTGAATCAAAATTTTTTGTTAAATAAAAATAACAAATGACTCACTGAACTAAGCATAAATTAAACAATCTTTGAAAAATTAGAGCTACTTTCTAATTTTATATTTAGATTCAGTTTTTCTATTTCTTTGTGCTCATAACCTTTAACGATCTGAAACATCATACAATATTGACATTTTTGATGATTCAACCGATAACATCGCTCGTTTTTTTAAAAAGAATCACTTGGACGCAACTTAAGAACGAATAATAATTTAAGCAAATCAATTGAGTATACAATCCTCACAATGTGAGATATCCCTCACACATTGGTAACACTGGTGGATGTTTTTTTCCTGCTTGGGGTTTTATTCATGAGATGGAGCTGTTACCAGTCAACAATATTTCTCTTAGACAAAGGTTTTGTACATGCAGTCGAGCCTTGTGAAATTAATCGCGTCCCAGGCACTTTGCTGTTTAGGTCGGATCTGTCCCACACTGATGAGAGATAATATCTCGAAACCGATTTGTAGGTGATCTACTTGATTCATTTGAGCGTGGTCCTGTTGCTGAATGAATGGAAAGCATTTGTAAGATTATCCTTTGTGAGGTATCTTGCATACATATTTATCGGATATAATTCAATGTCTATCTTGGTATTAGCAGCAAGTAGTTGTTTTCCGATATGCATTTACCAGAACCAACTGTTGAGACGTTGGAGAGATAAATTTTTGGAGATTTATTTCGAAATATTTATTTTCTTATTTGTGTATCTCTACTAGATACAGTCTCCAGACTTGCTTTGATTTCAATTAAAAATAACAGACTTTATAAAATTATTACGTCAAAATATACGAGTATATGAAGGAAAATTTCAAATTCGTTCATTTATTTTCATTTTGATAATGGCCATTTATCACACTCTTGAATATTTCTTCCCGATCCTCATGTTTTTACAGACAGTAGAAAGTTATGAACAAATTTTCTTAAGAACCTATAGAAAAACTCAAGTCAGCTGGTTGGAACGAACCTAATGTGTTGTGTCAACTGAGAATAGAGCACGACGAACTGAATGTACATGGGAGAATCAACTCAAAAATGATAAAATTTGTAGCTATAAACTTCTCAAAACCAATGTCAGGTTGCAATTTTTTATTTTTTAATTTTAGTATGGAATAATTGATGTATTTATATATTCATATGATTTGTGTGTTGTACTTCTCAACTAAACAAATTGGATTTATATCTTTATATGGTACACATTGAAACAAGTGAACAAAGAAAGGTTGTTGAAAAAACTTCTGTTAATAACAAATATTTTAATTTTTGGAAATATGGTAGCAAAATAACTGAATAATATCGTAATAAATTTATTTCCAGTAATCGTACTACATGAAACTATAAAAAAAGACTGAGATTTGATAAAACAAGCTCATAAATACATTGTTATCAACAGAAAATGTAGATTTCAGATATAAATGATAAATGTATTTCATTTCATCCATATTGACGTTATATTGGATGGATATTTACTTTCCCAATATTCCATCAACAGGAGGAAAATTTCACATTGCAGTGGTAGATTTATCGACACTTTTAGGAAACTCAATGACAATTCCCAATCATTTTAAGGTTAGAGTAAACAAAAACATTATTTAGCATTTTTCAACCACAACGTTTTTGTTTCTCAGCAACTGTAAAAATATATGAAATGACTAAGACAATAATAAAATATGATGAACACAACATATATGATGAAGTCATACAACTTCAAATATCAACTGTGATTAATGAAAATTAAAGTTTATCGCAGACAAAAATTACACCAAGAAAACAGTAAAATATTGTTATAGTATGCACTTGTATTAGTTATTATATCAAATAGATTCTCACCGACATACTCCAAGATCTCCAAGATTTTGAAACATCATGGACTCCTGAATTAGAATAGCTATTGATTTTTTACTGAACAATATACCTATTTCCTTTCAATATTAATCAATAATTTTTCTGTTTTCTATAGGTTGGTAAACAATCAGAGTTAAAACATGTTTGTTGGTTGTTGGTAAAGTTTGACAAAAGCAAAACAGTAAAAACCAAAACTACCAAAACGGCGAAAAAAATACTGGAAAATGATCGCCATCTATGAAATAGATACAGAACTCAAACCTTACTATGAGCTTCACCATGCTGAATGAAAAATCGACCTTCCTTTTTTTTAGGTGCATGGGTATAGAATAGTTCCTTGTTTCGGCTCCATAAACTTATCTCACACACTTATCTCACTCAAGAGGTGAGAATGTATTTTTGGAAACCGGATACGACATCTAGCAGACATATTGAAACTAAGCCAGATGGAAAAACAAAAATAAAGCCCTGTTATCTGTTGTCATATATTGTGGTTTCTTGTGCTTGCCTTGAGTGAAATTAACACCTGAAATCATTACTCTCACAAATTCACAATTGAATGATTCAAAACATAAAAAACACCAAAACAAGAAACATAACCTATGTTTAACATTCAGTTATTCCTGTTAGCTGTTTGAATAGTACCATCATCAGGCATCGGTATAAATTCTTCCATATTGCTTGATTAAGCTCATTTGACAATACCTTCACTGCATAGCAACCTGATAAATGTATTCAATAATAACTTCATGAGAAGATTTTCACAGATTTGTGAAAACCTTTCAATAAAATGTTAAATATAACGATAGAAATCAAGGTGCTAAATAAAGATTTTCAATACAAACCAGTTCACTAAATGCATTTCACTGTATACTAGCAATTTTGTATTCTATCCTGTGAATTTAAAAATTCATGCAGCTGCAGTTTCGTAAGAAGGTATCATCTTTCCCTCCAACCGATTTCCTGGAGTCTTTGAAGTCCACTAAATACTTGTTAGGACAACAAGAGGATTGTTCCGAATTCTTGGGGTTCTTGTTGAATACTCTTCGTGAGCAAAATAATAGCAAAATCAATACTCCCAGCCGCTCTGGACTGAATGATTCCGTACAACCCATCTCGTCTTGTGTTTGTAAATCTTTTGTTGGAAAAATCCTCACTTGTTTACTTTGTGGTAAATGTTCAAGAAGTACTGAAAACTTATGTGAATTTCTGGAACTTCATCTAGCTTTTCCTAATACGACTAATTACCAGTCCGTGCAAAGCTTATTGTTAAATCATCTGAAAATGGAATTTTTAACAGGTGATGATCGACTGTATTCTCAAACATACGCCAAACTAACTGACTGTTATAAGGAAACAAGTATAGCTGAGGCACCAGTCAATCTAATAATAACACTGATGATTTTCAAACAAGACTCAACCTCTAACGGAAGCAAGAAACTCTTTGGAAGGTTCGAAATAGATGAACATTTCAACCTAGCAGACCACTGTTATAATATTCATGCAGTCATTGTTCACTGTGGTTCTGGCGTTGAATGTGGTCATTATTACGCCTTGGTCAAAGAAGAAACGGACTGGTTTAAGTTTGACGATAGTCGTGTCACGAAGTGTTCTGGCGATGCATTGAATTTATTGGAGCCTCTGGAGACACCCTACATTTTGTTTTATGAGAGAGAGGACATTGTTGGATCAAGATCTTCAGATGATGTGGTGCTGCAGGTTTTTCCGGGTTTTCCTGCAGCTGAAAAGGCAAATGCGCCACTGGAATCAATGAAGTCGCCCCGGAGCGCCAATTAATTTTTATTGTTGTATTTATTTTATTTTTATCGTTGTCTTAAAATTGTGTATGTTGTAAATAAGGTATATATATTTAAAAAGTATTTTTGAACAATAGGTTTGAAAAATGCTATTGATAATCTTCCATGGGAAAATCATCGATTGTACCACTGCAATGTCTACATACCCATACAACAAAATCAAATTATACTATACTGGTAGACTAGTATCTCGGGATTTGCAGAAATATAGTACCTGCATAAACGAAAGCTCCCATTCGACTTCTCTCATTAGGGGGGATCCATTTTGCCAGAAGTGAGTGTGTGCATGGGACTATAGGACCCTGACCAGAAAGGTACAATTGAAAATCGGTACCGGTACCAAAGTGAGAAGTCTAAAATATTTTTGTCCCATATCTCTGTCCCCATTCTTTAGCAACTAATCCAACCGGACAAGAATATTTTTTCTCACTCTGTACTCGTCAGAATTGTCCACTTACCTCTCCGAGACCTTGTATAAACCTAACAGTAATAAGCCACCAAATTCCCATATTGGCGGCAACTGGTACTAGCAAACCGAATACTGAGTTGATCAACATTCCGATTCCCAAGAAGTAGATGTTTCCGTACCGTTTGGCTAGAATACCGAATGGTATTTGAGTAGCTACGTATCCGTAGAAGAATGAACTTAGAATATATCCTTGTACATCGGTCTTCCAAACAAATTCGCCATTCAGTTCTTCATGATGAATCTGAAAAAAAATCAAACTAAGCCTTTGTATTTCAAATAAAATCTGAAGAAACATATATTAGCTGGACTGAAAGGTTCGTATGCTAACACACAGATGGTGCAAATAGTAGTAAATCTTCACAGCTGTTGGACTACTAGTTTGTGGGATAGAACATTTTGAGTGAAGCAACTTTTGCTAGTTTGAAGAAAATGGATAAAAACTATGACCTAAAAATAAAGTTGATCAAAATAGCTGAGGCTCTAAAGATATTAAAGAAACGTGTTGGACATATCGTGCATTAATATTTGGGTATTGGAAAGGTCTGTTCAAAGTGGGTGCCGCGCGAGCAAAAAACAAAGAATTGATGAGTCTGAGCAATTCTTGAAGATATTCCATCATAAAAAAACTCGAATTCATGCGTCAATATATGACAATGAATGAAACATGGCTCCATCATTTCACACCAGAACCAAACGACCGTCATCTGAGTGGACTGTACGTGGTGAACCGACTCCAAAGCATGCAAAGATGCAACAGTCGGCCGGTAAGTTTTAGGTACCGCTATTTTCGGATACGCATAATATAATATTCATCGACTATCTTGAAAAGAAAAAACCGTCAACAGCGACTGTTACATAGCTATATTGGAGCGTTTGCAAGACGAAATCGCAAAAAATGGCCCCATTTAATGAAACAGAAAATTCTGTAACATCAAGATAACACATTGTGTCACAAACCAAGAAAAACGATGGAAAATTTGCATGAATTGGCCTTCGAATTGCTTCCGTATCTACCGTATTCTTCAGATCTCGTCCCCAGCGACTTTTCCAGTTCTCAAACCTCAAAAGAATACTCGCTAAAAAGAAATTTAGGGCCGATAAAGAAGTAATCGTCAAAACTGAGGCCTCTGTATCTGTAGAGTAGGGAGGGTGACATGCCTGCATAAAGGTGTATCCACTAGCCCCATATTATGGAGGTGTTTCCTTAGTTGACTGTGGCTAGTCAGAACTCCTACTGTTAAGCGTAGATTTTTCCTGGTCATCACCAGATATTTCTTCAGCGCCAGCTTCCCAGGGTCGCCCACGGTGATCTTGGCAAGTTTGCATCCTTTGATTTCATCCCATCTCTTTAGGAATTGAGCATGGGTGTAACGTTTGGCTAGTTCCGCACTTATCTAAGTCATCAGGCCGTAGGTGCCACTAGGTCCTAAAATCCTTATTCCAGCCGCTTCCGTGGCTAAAGAGTCGGCAAAGCGATTACCTTTACTCCTGTGGTGTCCTTTAATCCACCTCAGGATAATGTTTTATCTACCGAAGCTTTGGCTAAATCTTGTCTAGTACTAGCCCTGAGGTAACACTTGGTCGGTTCAAGGGAAATTAATTTTTATATATCTGAAAATTGTTTTATATAAACGTATATTGTAAGGCAAAATTTTAAAATGAATTTAGGTTGGTATACCAGTATTGGTGGTACGCCTGGATGGTTTACCTGTATGGGATACCTATACAGGCTGATTCACGGTGGATGGCACATTAGACGTTTCTGGTGAACCAGACAACGGATCACTTTGAAAATTTAATGGAGGGCATATTCGGACATTCTCTAGCCAACTAAAATATTTTCGACAATGC